GTACCGAATTGTCGCCCTGTACAAACGGTCATGACATGGCTAGCACGATGTGCGCAAAGGACCAACAAGAAATGTTCGGAAGTGCTGACTTTTTTTGCGATATATCCAAACACTTTTGTACTATTAACTGGCTCTCGTTTTGCCCGATTAACGCCCGCTCTATACGCAACAAAATGAAAGAGATTATGCTGCCATCTTTGATAAGTGATCCGTCCATGATAATGGCTACAGAAACACGGTGTACCTCTGATGTTTGTGACGCAGAGATCTCCATCGACAACTATTCCTTGTTCAGGAGGTATAGACTACATGGTAAGGGAGGAGGGTGCATTATCTATATAAAGTCTGACATCACTGCTACGCAGTGCCCTACATCTGAGCTAAACGAGATTGACGACTCAGTATGGATTATCGCAAAACTTACTCGCTCCACTTCCCTCCTAATAGGATGCATTTACCGGCCCCCTTCCTCCTCAGTCGAATACGACGACAAGCTAACAAGCGTGTTCGCCCGTGTGGCAACACTACCACACACAGCGAAAATTATATGTGGTGACTTTAACATGCCAGATATAAAGTGGCGACCAATTAGCTATCCAGAGCGCTTTGATAAATTCATAAGCATTCTTGAAACAGAGGGTTGGCAACAACATGTGGAACACCCTACCAGGTACAATAGTGTCCTGGACCTAGTCTTCACAAACGGAACCACACCCACAAAACTCCAAGTGGGTACACAACTTCCAGGTAGCGATCACAAGGTTGTATATGGATACTTCAATATAACCAGCACAAAATTAGCCCAAAAGTCAGGAACAGTACTAACTAAAAATTACAAGTATGCCAAATGGGACGAACTACAATCGTTTCCGCACTACCTAGCTTTGAGCCCCCAGCCAAAGAACTCTGTGATCTATTCTATGAATATATAGGCACAGCTCAAGACTATGTTGCTCCACCGCTCCGAAGAGAAATTAAGAAAAACAGAGCTGACTATATACCTAAGAAAGTACGCATCCGCATGCGAAACCATGTCAGAGAGTACTATAAGTCGAATGACTTTTCGTCGCTTGTCACACTCAAAGACACATACGACACATTCAAGGAAGAAAGAGTAATAGAAGCCGTTAAACAAGAACGCATCCAATGTAGTAAAACTAGTAATACAGAAGCACTAGTGAGACTGATGAAAACCCGGATAAGTAGCTCCAGAAATAGTACCCCTAGTTTAATCATGGACAACGGCATCCTCTACGACGACCCACTACAAATCAGCGAGCTGTTCGGTTACCAGTTTGCTAGCTGCTTTACACAAGAGGACGAAATAAAAGTCATTGGTGCACCGTCAACACCGACTCACTCGATAAGTGCTGTGCTCTTCACTAAACAAAACATTTCTCCAGCTGTAGCATCACTTCGAACCTCATACAGCGCGGAAGCTGATGAATTTCCAACAATCTTGTTAAAAGGAGGTGGCGAAGATATACCGCTGATTCTCTTGAAGCTCTTTAGTACGTCCCTCTCCAGTGGCAGTTACCCTGAGAACTGAAAACTATCACACATATGTCGCAAGCATAAAAGTGGACCAACGTCTAATAAGGAAAACTACCGGCCTATAAACATTGGGTCAGTAGTATCCAGGACTATGGAAAAGGTGATTGTGAAAGCAGTTGTCGACTACATGACGACAAACCAATTACTCTCACCAGCACAACATGGATTCTTGAAAGGCCGGTCATGCACTACAAGCTATCTTGACTATCTAGACAACGTTACAAGCAAGCGTGACCAAGGCCTATTTGTAACTGCCCTTTTCTTAGACTTCAAGCAAGCATTCGATAAGGTGCCTCACAAACGCCTGGTCACTAAGTTGCAATCATATGGTTTCTAAGACCCGTTACTGTCCTGGCTCTGAACATCTTTAGAGGGTCGCTTCCAAGTAGTAAAATTCAGTGATTGCTATTCCTCCCCTAGGCATATACAAAGTGGTGTCGTCCAGGGTGGTGTGCCAGGACCGATACTTTTCCTAATCTATGTGAACGATATCTGCAGCGTTATCCGAAACGGCATACCCTAACTTTTCGCAGACGACTTGAAGATAGTCTACAGCTTTTCCCCTGCAGCACAAACAGGGTTTCTCTCAAATACAAGAAGATCTGAAGAGAATATCCATATGAAGTATGACCCAGCAGCTCCCTCTAAACCCAAATGAAGGTGGCATCCTCCATTTCAACAGATCCCACCCAGAAGTAACACTACACTTGGGTGACATCGCACTGCAGATGTACAACACTGTGAAAGACCTCGGAATCACTTACTCCAGAAGTTTGACTTTTACGGAGTATGCAGATTCAATAGTTCCCGAAGGCAAGAGACACGTTGGTCTTCCACACAGAAACATGCTCACACCTGAGGCAAAACTTATACTGTACAAGGCTATGGTTCACCCAATATTAGAGTGCTACACGGTTATCTACGGTAGCATGAAAGTGTCGGACAGAATTCGAGTAGAGAACATTCAACGAAACTTTACTCGGCGTCTACTAATACATAACGAAGGACTTCCTTACGAAGCAAGATGCAAAAAACTAGGACTAGAATCACTCTGGCTGAGACGCCTGAAGCTCAACCTAACCTTTCTTTTTCGTCTTTAGGATTTGTCCTGGTGCGAACTTGACAGACGCAAAGACCAATCACTAATTATTCGAACTTGAGACCAAGGAAGAACACGATAGCGTAGTCGGATGGAATAGTATATTTGGATGGTTATGCCAAAATATCGATGCGTTCCAACCAACTGGCTAGAGAGTCGAATACGAGCAATGCAACGTAACACGACAGCGTGCCAAATGGCGAGGATGCTTGACCGGGTGCCTTCAGCTTAGCGAGTCCAGTTAAACTATCAAGGTCAGCATCAATGTCGAAAGTCGTCAAACTCTAGGCTACTGATTTTGGGGAAGTGTATGACGCTACACGTCTTTTGTTTGGAGACTCTAAAACGAAATGTGCTATCACTTTTAAATCAACACAGACATATAATCTGCATGATAGCGAGTACACCATTCTAATGGATAATTATTGCTCAAAACTTCGATGTAAGTTTTTCATAACGCAACACAGTATGCTGTGGAACGAAATTCCCGCTCCTGTACGAGCCTGTCGTTCTCTCGGCCAGTTTCAACGACTACTTGGCGAATTCCTCCTATCTAACGAATCTCATCAATTCGTTGACGGCCAAACCACAAACGGTAATACCATGTAAAATAGTGCTACTGGTAACTAGATTCAAGGGAGACTGACAGCAGTGGCAAAAGTATACAATGCCAAAAACTAAACGCAATAGTCAAGTTAGAATCTAATTTCTTTTTTAAAAAATGACCAAGAGTGAACAGGAAGTGGAGTGCGATACGATATGCAACAGTGAACTCAGTAGCTACTCTAATGTAACCTACTTTTCTTCATAACCTAACTGATCTCACGACTTAACACCTATTTCCTAAAATTCGTCCCTTAAAGTAATCTCTCTACTCCGAAAAGATAAAAGAACTGTCTGTCGGTGCATTTTCATAACATGCAACATGTTTTATTATTTGCCCCTTGTTATCAGTACTTGCATGTAAGTACTCTGCACCATCATATTGTTTCGGTAGCCCCGATATGGTAATACTCAACAGGCAACACCATGACCATCCCCCCTCCGTGACCAGATAAAGGGTGGTAACCATCTTAGAAAAAACCATGAATTTCACCAAATGTTTATAGCTCCATCAAACGCTTGTACATAGGTATATAACAAGTGAATACCTGGTCCAAATCCTCTAATCTCTCTATTTCGTAGTGATATATTCTGCTTTAGACTAATTTTCATTACTGTCGTGCGCACCTTCATCTCCTTCCCCTAGGCTTACCTCTAAACAGTTGGTTCTGGACAATTCTTCAAGTAAGTTTTGTAGCCACTACAAAGAAGTCACCCAGATGTATCACGGTTGATCTACTGCTGTCTGTTTTTGTGCTGCTGTTTCGAATTTCGCCTGCTGCTCGCTTTTGTTATTCACTTTTCAGGTTTACCTAACCAGTCCTGCATTCAAATGGAATCCTACAAATGGCATTTGTTAGTGGGAACCTTGCCATCAAAACCTTGTGACGAACGCGCAAACCTCAAGGTAACGACTGGGATGCGGCCTCACCTCCAAGAATATTGGAAGATTCAAACAATAACCGAATAATCCCTAAATTCGAACTGAGCCTGCTTCAACACACCTCTTATGTGTCATGAATAACAGTATCTAATGTACAGTTTAACATTGTACATAATAATCACTTTTCATCACCAAAATGATCAAACCTGTAAACTGGTTTGTATTCATGTAACCTTTGTTGTATGAAATACATATTATTATTATTATTATTATGGTGGGTGGAAGTAACCTATGTTCATCGTAAGATACAACAGTTACGTAATTTTTGAAATTCAGTGACTGCTTCTTCAACAGCTTTCCAGGTGAAGAATGACTTCGACAACACCACTTCCCAGGATGCTACAGTTATGTCTACTGAGACTGCAACATTCTCAGAAGCTTGGGATGTGCTGCTTAAAATTACAGATTCCTCATTAAATAACAAAAGGAAAATCCAATAGCAAGCATATTACAGAGGAATTGACACTTACCAGTGCACAGTGATGTTACAAAACCCACTGGTGCTCGATGAAAGTTAGGAACCTACGGGATCAGAGCCATTGTTACGTATCTTGCTATATACTTTCTAAAAAAGAAAATAGACCAACCACTTGCCTCTAAAAGGTAGTTGTTGTTAATTTAAACCTCTTAAAACAAAATATCCCATTTTTCGCAGTATATCAGGCACACTTTAGCCAATTCCATGCAGCAACTACATGTACACGATTAAATGTGAGAAACCCGCTTCACTTATGTGGCTCAAGGTCGATTGGAAACATAAGCCAGCCAAATTCGATTTGAGGATAGCTTATAGTAACACTGTATTTGTATAATTGCTTTGACTTGGTACGTCCTTACTTTAGTCAGGAATTATTATGGAACACCAGTTATTTATTGATACCATTCTGTTTACGATATAGTTATGACTGCGGAGGCATAAAATTGTAGATTTGTGTAATCTAGATTAAGCATCCACTGGTTTTTGGTCTTCAATTGAAAGTTAGTTAGCGATTAGCTCTGTGCTTATCTTTGCGGTATTTATTTCTGCAAATATACAGCCTTCCTTTGGACGTGATAACTGAGAAATCTTTAGTCACTTCCTGGTAGCGAGTTCCAATCATTGACCACGTGATAAATGACTAATTATCTCATAGAGTACCCGATAGGAATTCAGTCACTCTACTCGAATATGATTCAGCAGTGGTCCCTAAGCCTTTTTTGGATGGCATCCAGGGTGATCAGTCTTAAAGAGGATGAAGGAATCAGATGAATTACTACGTAGATCACTATTCGAAGTGTTAAGTGGGTAAACCACTTCATTTCTTTCTTTACGATAATAGAAGGTATATTCATGTTTATCACTTCTCATCAGAAAGGTGGGTGAGACCCATCACTGGTTTAGTAGAAACCCTCGGGATTCGTTCTATTGTATCAGCTTCCTTTTTCGAAGCATAGATTGACAACAAGTATTACCGACTGTCATTCATTTAGAGAACTGTAAATGCGTAATTAACCAGTGTTAACTAGTATTAAACTTTTTCAATCATGTTTTAGTATTACCTTCAAGTTGACTGGATAGTGTTACTCCATTTTTCAGATCAGTGTTCAGTCTACATTGCCACTGAGTTGCTATGGGCTCATGCTCCCGTCAGTATATCGGGTTTTGCGGAGCCAGGTTACACCATTTACTCTCATAAAGCAGGTGTAACTTATTGTACTGATCTGAGTGTTATCTGAAATGAATTACACTTTGTTACATAGTTGATTTTCCTATTGTCTAAGTGTTCTCATATCCGAATACTAGACCGATAGCTAAGTACGTGTTTCCAAGTAAACCTAATTGAGAAATTTCTGTCTGGAATAAGTATTCTCCGTGTTCTGCTGGGTGAATATCCCAGTCAAAATTCTTGTGGTTTAAAACGATGAACTATGGGGTAAAACTGCTTTAAAAATGTGCGGTCAAATGAGGGGTTTTGCGACATTTACCCCGGTGTATTTTCGACCCCACATTTTGAACCTCATTCCCGGATTACCCTGCATCATCTCATTTCCTTTATGCGTTCTCTTAAGTTCATAGCCTTCTATGGAGCTCGTGACATCGACTCACTCAGTATTCAGATCCAACAGAGTATCCGTTTGGTATTTCTCAAAAGCTTTGATCTCACCATTTCTGAAATGGTGTCATACATGAAGTCCCCTGTAGTTTCTGTTTAGATTCTACATCAAATGCCTCCAAAAATGGTGTGTATAGGTAATATGTTAACCTTCTTTTGCAGCCACTTGACTTGACTACTTATCGCTATGGTTTTTGAGAAATGCTACGAGAGCACCTGCGGTCAAAAACCTACGTTCACATTTTTCAACAGCGCTATCTCAGTCATATAATAAGACATGGTGTACTACAGCAGAGTATTTTGGTCGCTGAAACCTTAATCATATCTCGCCGCCGCCAGTCATGCGAGCAGACAGATGCTTGTTCTAACCGGAAATGAGATTTCGTCTGCAACTAACTTTCTGCGGCTGATGCAGAACCCCAGGTAAGTGACCCGACCAGCAGCTGCTATCTTGACGTGGTGATCAGGCTTGCTTATCACAACGAGCTATGGTAGAAGGATGCTTGTTCCCTCGAGGTCCTACCGCGCCAGAAAGATCTGTTGGATAGTGGTAAGATAAAAGTAGTTACCGTTGTAGTGTAAATTAACACATTATGATGGGGTTCTGGAGGCAAAGAGGTACTGATGCTAGTTGGATGAGGTGTGACCGTAGTGAGGTGTTGCCCTTGGACGACCAGAAGGGCCACGTTGGTGTGGGGAGGCGATGGGAAAAGGTCGACCTCCAAAATAACACACCCCACCTGCTCGCTGCATGCCGATGCTCGCAACAGGGATTCATAGTCAGATTCGAAAGCAAACAAAGACGTCCCAAATGGCCATGTGTGACAGGCCTCAAGCAACTACCCCTAGGGCTCCGCAGTCACGTTAGTCTTTTTCTCTTTCGATATTTCAAGCAGAAATAGCCTTCCACGGCGTGGACAGCCAGAAAGTGTCAACCGCCCGCACGCTCCCAGTAGTACACAAGACCCAATCAAACACTATCATATCCCCCTCAACCCTGCCTCCTCCTTCTGATACTAGTATTAAACTTCTAGCACCTTACCCAACCTCATTCTGCGTCCATCCCCAACGATCAAAGCTTTCGGAACCTCGTTCCTAGTTTCTTAAGAACTCATGATGGAGATTACAACGCCGAACTGATTGATGCGCGAAGACTGGTTCCAGCTGACTTTGAGCGGAAGCAGCTTAAACGTAATTTGACCGAGAGTGTTCACATCGATTGCGATCAGTGGCAGGTGGCGAAGGCAAGAGAGATGGAGAGGGCGTTAGCGTTAGGTGGTAACACTCAGGAACTACTTGGGGTTATTAAGGATACGGAAAAGAAGAAGACGATGGTGAGTGGAATCATCAGAGAAAAGAATGGGACGCTGACAGCCTCCCAGGACAGACGGCTAGAAAGTTGGGCAAAACAGTTTGAAGCCCAGTTCAACTGGCCTTCAGCAACGCTTCAGTTACCCAACGTCCAGCCTGAACATGGATGGGACGTAGATATTGGTCCTCCAACTCTCCTTGAAGTTGATGAAGCTGTATCGAATCTGAAAGGATGCAAAGGAGCAGAGCGCGACAGTTTTCCAACTGAAATTTTCAAGCATGGAGGTAGGAAATTGCTGCTTGGAGCGACGAAGGTACTAGTTGGTGTATGGGGATGAGAGGTAGCGCCATCAGACTAGTGTACTGATGACTGATCATTTCAGTCTATATGTAGTCTTATGACAACCATAAGGGGGCCAGTTTGAATAATATTGTCCAAAATCCTGGGATCCATAGTTATCCGACGGCTAAGTGGAGCTCGAGAACAGCAAAGTGGAGAGGATCAGACAGGTTTCATACATGGACGAGGGTGCATCGATCAAATTTCCACCCTCCGACAAGTTCTGGAACACAGGCATACCTACCGACCAGTGGCCCGACACTTGCCACATTTGGTTGGCCTGAAGGCGGCATTTGACTCAGTCGGCCATGAGGTGTTGTGGCAGTGTCTGACTATAAAGGGAGTATCGAGCATGTATACAACGCTAATCGAAGCTGTCTACTGGAATCCACTCAGGTGTGTAAGGACTTATTGAGGACTTATTGTCATGTAAATTGATGAAACTAGTGGTGTTGGCCAGGGATGCCCACCGTCACCGTTACTATATATCTTCATAACGGACGTACCAATAGACATCACCGTGGGTACGTCTGGCTTCACAGGGATTTACGTGGTCCGTGGAGTTTGTCTGGTTGACTTCGAGTATCCAGACGACATTGTCCTGCTAGATGAAGACGTTGATAGAATGTAGTCTTGTGAACGCGTTGATCAGAAATCTGAGTATGTTTGGCTTGCGTTTCGCAGGCACCTGTCAAATGTATAGTGATGCTCCAGGACTGGTGTGCTTTAAGTACTCCCAGTTTAACGATAAGGAGTGAAGTGGTGGGATATGTCGATGGCTTCACTTACTTACTTGTGTAGTTGCATCAGCCCGAACGGTGTGGTTGTTGACGAGATGTCAGCTGTGATATAGAAGGTCCGTTTAGTATTTGACAACTTGAGTCATCTATGTCACCGACTGGCGAGATATCCGACTTTCAAGCAAAGGACGAGTATACTGGGCTGCATTCCGTTCTGTCCTGTTATACGGCTGAGACGGCCGTTGAAAGTCGAAGATATGATACGGCTACAAAGTTCTGATCACAGCTATTCTTCCTAGCATTACTCATGTTTGGTGGAATCACCGTACGCGAAATGTTGAGGTTAGGCGAGGAGTACTCGGCAAGACAGGCAAATCGATTGACAAGGTTGTGGACCTTAATGAACTGAGATGGCTTGGACATGTACTGTGGGTGCCGAGCCACCGCCTACCTTGACGATCCATGCTAGGGTAAGTTGGATTAGGTCGTAGGAGTGTTCAGACCAAGGTCTGGGACTAGTCGATGAAGTATCTTCCTGTTGGTATGAGTTGTGTAGGGAGGTGTATCCTGCCTGGTTGGGGTTTTCAAGACGAAAAGAATCAGTGGTTGATGACTTTTGGTGACATGACTGAAGATCGGCCACAGTGGCGCTGATGGGTTCACTGCTTGGCATATTCTAAGGCTTGAATATCTGCGCTAACCGTTATGTTTAGTTTGTTTGTTCTCACACTACTTTACCTTCTTTTATATAAATTTTTTTCTACCCACCTGTTCCTTGTATACTATTGTGAAGTGCGATAACTTTGGGCCGATGCAGTTGTGTGCGGGGTTCTGCGTTGATTTAGTCAGTCAATTAGTTCATTTCAGTGAAGTGATCGACTTCCTCCTTATCCTTCAATTAAAAGCTCTTAGAAACCAGTGGGAAGCATTGTCTCATATCTGACAAGTGCGAAACGCATTATAAGCATGCTCAGGTTCCTGCTAAAGTCATTGGGAGAAATACGGTCACCAAATCCTTTGTCGTAGTTTTCTCATCTTAAGTAGTATGAGATCGTCATTCTAAAAGTGGATCATAAGATTTATATGACTGTAGAAAACACTTTGAGTTCTGACATTGCGTGAACCGTAAGCTAGACTTTTTTCTTTTTTTCTATACAGCACATTTCCTTCCAAACTATTGAGAATTATCAATACTCAAAATTGTGAGTAGTTTGCAATGTTGGGTCTTACGTTTGGTCCCTCATTTCCCCTTTCTTGCTCTTAGTTTGTTCTACTTTGAGCAATAGCGCCAAATTTCGCTTTGTCTTTCCGAGCTTCCTCGCAAAAATGGTTGCTGCGTTTCCTTATCACTAAAGAACACTAATTTGCTAACCAATTTATAGGCCATGTAAGTGCGAATGTTTTTTAGCCAGATGAAGTTGCAAAAGATATTAATAATCAAATTAGTTTGACTAGCAGTCTTTGACCAACTATCCTTGAAGATTCCTAGACGTAAAACACCAGCTACTGCAATGTTTTATCATCTCGGCCTCGTTAAGTTAGGGGATCAATGGCTGCATGATGTTTCTGTTGCATTTGAACAATGGGGTAGCTGTGTACTTGTTTATCTGTTCTTCGATACTTCATCTAGTGTTTGGGATGTATGTTTTATGTATCAAGCATTCGTCCTTCTTGATGATGGTCTCTTTTATCATCACCTTATTTCGGTTATTCTCTAAGGCTATATATTTGCCAACAGTCATACAGTATTGATGCCTTTATCATTCACTTTCATCATCTACTACTACTTTTAACCATGATGAAGGTTTAGTTTGGATTCAAGCTGTTTTCATACATGATAGCTTGGATGATCTCGTGCATGAGGTTAAAGAGACCTAATAAACATTAACCTTTACTTATGGGTTTTTGTGGTTACCGCCATTCTTGTTGTAGGTTGAGGGTTGCTTTTATCTCCAAGTATATAGTTATCCCATTCTTTAGGAAGACCACCGCTCCACCTACTGAGGTTTTGGCAGCCAAATGGTATCATTAGCCGTCATAATAGGTTTCGCTCACTGTCTACTACACGAATGTTCACGGGGTTGCTGGGTGAGTTTCGTCGGTCTTTTGGTTATGTGCTTACTGGGCTTATTCAAACATGCATAACCGTACTCGAACTGGTTTATCATCCAAGCAGATAACCTCAAAAATGCAATTTTAACGTTTTGTCTTCTATAGCAGGTGTTTTGAATTAATGATGGCTGATTGGTTACAAGAAGAGATGATAAGATTATTCGATTGTTAGGCTGAGTAGGGATACTATATAGCGTAGAGTAGTAGAGTATGTGATTAGTACGGATGAATGAACTAGTCGACCAATTGATGGCAGTTGATTTATGTTTATCACCAAAGCCGATTAACGATTGGGAAGACTGATAAATTTATTTTATTGTATTGTTTGAGCGGATATACACTTGTTTATATGCAGGCAATGAAACTCAGAATAATCTGAATAGAAACTGTGTGAGTAAAAATTTACACTAGAGTAGGGTTAAGAGCTAACGTCATAAGACAATCAAATTACATCTTACCAAAGTATATAGAACTACCTTAACGTCTACTACATAATTAAGATCGACAGTCTTTTATGAAATTTGTCCTGCAGTAAGTCGGTGCTTGAGGAGACTCTACAAAGTAGCATAGACGTATATCATGTTCTCTTCACGTTCTTACAAGACCATCACACTGAAAAAACACAAGTAGGACGTTATCTCATTGGTTTTAACCCTCGGTGTTCAAGTAACTGGCCTAGGGTTTCGACCCTGCGCCACTTTTCTCACTGGTAGTTGCTGCCTTAATGTGTTGGTCAGGCTTGCGTATCACAATGACCCAACAGGCTATACTGATGGGGTTCCACTATGCCCAAACAAGTATCTTGGACAGTATAAGAAAAATCAATGTCAATAGCTACGCTATGACGTAGGTCCGAGAGTGAAGTAGTGCTCACTGGGCAGACATGTTAGGACAGTAACATGTTTTCCACGGATAACCGGCGATTCATACTGATGGTGTCTTCTCTATGAGAAGTAGGGGTTGCAAACTGTTTTCATAAAGAAAATAACTGCTCCCCGCTCTGTGGGTCCTTGGTATCAGTTTCAGTTGTGTTATATCAAGAATCGAGTCAAATCTAGAGCTTCCAGAGAGGCTGTGTGACCGGTCTCAAGTAGATGTCCCGGGGGCTTTGTGATCAGGCAAAACTGATCAAGCTTCCTCTTTCGTGTTCGTAAGACAGCACCTCTGACATCCTGAAACTGCCCTCAAAACTATAAATCGGAGCTTTCAAAGTCCGCACTTTGTAAAATCAGATAAGAAGCTTCTGTAGCCAAAACACTGGCAGCTTGGATCATAGAAGCGTGCTGTGTCCATGAAACACGCATACAGGACTCAATAGTGGTTATTCACCTATCACCCTCACCCGACCAATATGGTGAATCCGCGAAATTCATCCTTCGAGTTTCTTGAGATCTGGTGACTAGTTCTCGCGGTTTTGCAGGCGTAGGTGAAGAAGTAAGTGTACCCCTCGATCGGATCTTAGTTGACAGCCGCCTATATACTGTCTGGTTGGACGGCATAGTGAGGATTAAATAGAGTAGCGGAACTCGTCGTTGTCTTTTTATGATCTCTGCTTACGCCACCACTGATTGCATTTCGGATGAAGTGAAGGATGCCTTCTACCGAATACTACCTAGCTTCCTGCTGAAAACCAAGCTTTTAGACGTGGTAGCGGTTGCAGGTGATTTCAGTAGACAAGTGGTGCTCATAGTCTCTGAGCCAGACAGGAAGGCATTTGGTGGCATTTTCGGAATCCCCGTCGGACGAGCGGATAACGGTGAGCGCCTGTTATAACTGTGCTCTGACAGCTGTTTATTTCTAGCTAGCACGAACTTTATACTTAAAGAGAGATATTGTCTGACGTGTTATCGACTGACCTCAACTCAATGGGGGCCAGGCAGGCGATACTTCTGTCAGTTACCGCTAGAGGGTCAGTGAACGGTTAACGCTCCTTCTGAAGAAAGTGTTTGGACAGTAATCACGCGCTCCTAAATGCACAGAAAAACTGCAGCCATAAGATCGTTGCGAGTGCAGATCGACTATGAAAGACAAGTTGATTTGAGCGTGAAACTGGTTAAACAGTTGTCCAGCAGAAGAGCATTACTCATCTGGAAGGAGCGTGACGTTATCTCGTCTGCTGTGAAAACAGCGTAAAACATTATTTATTTGTACATTTTAAATCGTTTTCGCGCCGTTTTTGTCCTATGACGAGTAGTTCATTTCTACTTGTCAAGAGAAATTCGCTGATTGATTAACGCTTGCTTTCTGCATGTCAACGTCTCATTTTCTGGACATGGTCATATATGCATATATACACATGCCTTGTGGCTTATTTCAATTGTTCGGAGGCAATAACATTTCTCACCCAGACCAGTCTTCTTCCTGTCGATTTTCTTTGGGGTTTTCCAGTCGTTGGTATCTGATAGACAAGTTAGCTTTTAGTTAGAAGCGTGGGTACTATTTACTACTCAGGAACATAACACTTTCATCTTGTTACTTCCTACTTGATGTATTGATATGAGATATGGCTACCTAGACCGTTTCGCAATAACCCCAGGTCGCATGTTGATGCTAGCCGGCTATACTACAATTGGAGTGGCTGGGACATGTGTTACGCAAGCTTCTTCATTTCGCCGTCTATCCCAATAAGCTATTTTAGCTGAAGTAGGATTAACTCAAGAAAAACTATGGGTGGCTAGTCGAAAAGAAAGAACCAATCTACAAAGTCTCAGACTACTGGTCTGTGCCGTGTAGAGGTGAACTTAGATTTCCGTGTTGTGGTCCACGCAACAACTAATATAAATGGTTAGAGACTCTAGGTAATGTGGCTCAGGGTCGATGGATTGATACATTATCCCTCAACTTCTTTTTCGCCCTACTCGGTTTCTTCTTTTTTCCTTTTGTGTATCTGTGTACACCAATTTAAGCGTCAGTATTTCCAGATGAGGAAAAAACTACAAGTTATATTTTTAACGCGTATAATCGACATTACAACTGTGTTTGTATACAGTAGCCACTGGTGTTTACGGTGAGATTTGCATTATTTCCGTATATTCTTTTCTTTGCTTAATCTCTGCTTATTCCCACCTTCTCTCATTGTGTTGGCGATGATAATAATAATAATGGGAACCTTTTAAAAGTATCTGACGGGACTTTTTTATGATTACTGTCTTATTTTTTCTTGTTGCGCTCCACTTATATAATGCATTTCATGTTGGTATTTTTACTGAGTTCTCTGTAGAGTTATTAACCAAGACAGCCACTTAACCAGATAGTCAGTTATCTGAGTACGACCGTAAGGATGATTTGTATGTTTATGATTACCCAAATATTAACATAGTCTCCGTTATAGTGATCTCGTAGGTAGTCTAATCATATAACATTTTGTCCTTACTGTTATCAGTAGACGTAAAAATATTGTGTTTCTAATAGCGAGATGAATTTTTATCTAGATATTTTCACAAATATCATATTTTGGGGGAAAACATGAATTCTCTTGGAGACGTTGACATTTTGAATAATGTGTCAGATAAGAGCCATGAAAGTACAGAGTTAAAGCGACGACGTTCCGATAAAATTTCAAACCTGATGGGTCGGTATCTTTTGAAAGGATGGCGGATGCTGAATGTATCTTGTCCTGAATGCGAGGTTGGTTATTTTCTTGCTTATATTCTTACTTATCTTTGTACAGACAATCCTCTTTCAACAACCAAGTGGCCAGTATTATTGTGTAGCTTGCTTGGAAGTTGATAAAGATAGCTCCAGTCAGGCAAAACATCCACCGCTCGCCGACGAACAATTTCGGTTAAACCTCAGGGTTCCTTATTTGAACCACCTCATAAAAATGAAGATGACTTGACCACACCTCATATACAGTCCTGTACAGGGTATGTTAATTACTGTGAAATTTTAGTAGGTTATACATGTCATACATACATTACTCTAGTAAGTATAGTTAACTGCATTCAAACTGATACAATTATATGTAACTTTAATAGTGATGAACTAATAAACAGAAACTGGTGAATTTTTGATTGTACCAATACACCTCAAGAACCATAGGCAAGTTTACACAATTTTTTCGAGCTACAATATTGTTTAAGGGTTGATGCCTAGCTACTGAGACATCGGTTGGTGGGACATCAGTCAATGAATATCAACATAGGATCAGGCATAACTGCAAAACGGTCCAAGTTGCCACAGCAAGTATATAAGTAGTAAGATGAAAGGTGAAGAAAAATTGGTCAAAAGCAGTATAATGCAGTAAAAGAGATGAAGGAGGAATAAGAAGATCCTGAATTCAGTGTAGCAGTTAAGATGATGTGCGAATGCATATGCTCCACTGACATCTCTTCTCAACCATATCACATAGAGTCTTCAATAACCGGTTTCTGTTGTCATGTGGACCCCAACTAGCTACTCTGCATTTCTAACATGGCGCAAACCAATACCCAAAGACTTCATGGAGTGATGCTATATTTTAGTCTGACCACCCGTAGCCTTTTTGCAGCCTAAACCTACTTCAGCTAACATTGGACGACGAAGCAGACAGTGACTAGGCATGCATAACACATGTCTCAACCATCTCGCTCAATAAAGGTTCATGACCTTATCAACTGATTTTCCACTCCTCCTTGAAACTCTACACCTGAGTGGCCACACAGTAAGCCAAAGTAGTATTGGTTACTTATTTCAACAAAGGTTTCTATACCTATTATAATCTCAATTCTAAAATTTACTAAACATACACAGTATTCTGAACAGTCAAATGCTTTATATTGTTAAGTGTATGAGATTTTCCTGTCCTTAAGCATTTGCTTACATTTTTTCTCTGTAGAGCATCAAAGAAACCCGCCGAACAGTCAGAGTTACTTACAAATAAACAAGCATCAATAGAAAAACACAAAGAAAACAATTTGATATCTAAACTTCATGGTAAAATAAATTGGTGTATGTCACAAATGGTAGAAGCTACTTCACCCACAGAGATTCGACAATGGACCGATACATTGAAATCTTTGTTAGATTTATGGGATAAAATGTTCAAATGTAGCATTCTAAAATCGTAATGTTAAGTAGGATTATATTTGGGAGAAACCAATCAACCAAATTTTGTTAATATACTATTTTGTTGAAGTCAGCATAAAATCTTTATAACCTACTTTTATGTTTCATAGTCAGTGTTGTTTTTACACCGGAAAGTTATAGGAGGCTCTTCGTGTTATCCTGATTCATTGTCGGTTATTGTTTTCCAAGCTAAATTAGTATATTCTGATGGAGGTATGTATGACAATACATATATCTGCCTACAGCAAACGCTTTTGAAAAGTCATTTGTTTACAATTAACTTTGATTTATGTTTGCAATTAAGAGTATAAGTATTCCCTACAGATGGTATACTCAAACTCATGAATCAAGAAAATTCAACAGTAATTGTGGTAGTGCATTCACACTATGTCGTTAATTCAGGCAGTTCACTAAGTTGGACAAGTCAAACGCTATTTGAATGAACAAAGACTTTTTTTTCGAAAACTTCCTAACGTTCTACAATTAAATATCCATATTTTGTAATCTTGCACCAATACTATTAATATCTTGTTTAACAGTTTGATGATAATATTATACGAAATCTCAGTATTGTTGACGCAAAATTGCGTAATATGGACTTATAACTATAGGACATGAAGTTGTCAAGAAGAATATTCTTTTTCATTCAAATGGCTAATGAATTATGATGGGAGTTGTTAGACAAGTCAGTCAATTAAATTCTCATCATCGACCCTAATTAACAAATTTACGAGTAATAACGAAATAACGCTTTAGTTGTGGCTGTTTAATAAGCCACAAATAATGAACATTCCAGTTAGTGAACTAATCAATTGCCACTAAAACTGTTTGTTTATTTAATTTGGAGCCTGTATATTAGTGTAGGGTCAACGACGAGGACCTAGTTGAAAAGAAATATATCTTCGCACAATTCATATTTCATCCTAAATGCCTAAATCCGGATTTCCAGTGGGTTAAAATCAAATATGAGTAAACAAACCAGCGTAAAAGCTCTGCATTAGTCATGATGGTAGTGCATACAAGCATAGACAGAAGATTGGTAGTAACTCATCAGAACACCAAAGATTTATCTAGGTGATTAGTAGATTTTGTAATTATTAAGCTTGATCATAGCTTTAAAAAATGGTTTTATTTAATCAGTTTTGAAGTGAAAAATTGCATGGAAAAACCTTTCAACTTGAAACGACACTTTAGCGACTATGATCACGTCAATTGCTTTGCTTCTCTTTCAGTCATGAGGCTTTGGTAATTGTCTTAGAAATTCGCTACTCCAGTATTCCCCGGGTATACAACCTTTAAAATGATATCAGGTGGTACGGTTACATTCTTCAAATTGTGATGGAATGTAGTTGCTTGCTTTGACAGCATAATTAAATTGCTATTTCACAGGAAAGAGAAGCTCTACAGTATGACAGATATGTCACATTCAAGTATGAAAGCAGCTGACATGAGAACCAACTAAGAAAAACTTACCAGTAAATCGGAAAATCTGTGACAAGAAATTAGACACATCAAGAACACCCCACGTCTCAATAATTACCCACCAAAATTTATAAATTCACAAGAAATCGAAAGAAAAATATTAGCAATAGTAGTAGTAGTAGTAATACAGGTGTTGTTAACAATAATCCCACTACTAATGGTAATAATAGCGACAGGATTAAGAGAGAATTCAAAGCATCTGCTGTGTTACCACACAAGGAAGGCACCTCAGAAGCATTACGAAGAATTCTCAACAAGGCTGGGATTAAAGTGGCATTCAAACCAACAAACTTGCTTAGAAACAAGCTTTGTAGGTTAAAAGATCCTATCTATGCAATTAAACAAAATAATCTGGTTTACCAGATCCCTTGCAATGATTGCGAGGTCAAGTACATAGGTCAAAGCAGTCGACCAGGATCGATTAGAATAACAGCACAAAAACTTAGCTAAATCAAGATCAGTAGATCCTAATAAGATAAGAAATCTAGAGAAAAACTTGGCTATAGCTCTGCATGCGATGGACACAATCACACAGTAGGGTGGGATTAGGTGACAGTGTTGAAAACTAACTTACTTGGGTGGAGGGGTAACCGAATATTATTTTGTCGAATCAACACCAAAGACATGCAATCGAAATGATTCTGCACCTGTCCCAGATATATGGAAAATTCTACTACTTTTATCACCACAGAGGAGAGAAAATTAGGAATGTATAAAGTCTGTTTCGAAGCTGCAGAGCTACCTGATATGAATATGGGCAATAAATTGTATCCGAAACGTTATTCACTAAGTGCTACTGTTTTACTGTGTGATATTTCTAATAAACAGACTGAAATGGAAAGATGTAAATCGATAAAGGCTAGTGGGAAGTATCCAAACATTTCAAGTTGTAATAAAATAAATACATCTATACCATTCCGATTGGATTTCAACCATCCCACCAAATGTCTCTCACCACTGATTCGTATTTACCCAAAGATTCCAGTTGGTCAGTCTTTTATTTATGGAGACAAGGAAACTAAATAATTCCTGACGAAGAAACTCACGCTTCATGTAATTGAGATAAGAATCACTTGGTGAGGAAATACCGAAAACAGGATTGTTACCGCCAGAATATCATTTCACTTCAACAGGCATGGTGCCTACAGTGCTCGAAACAAGTTATATTCTATATCAGTTTTGTTAAAGTGAACGCGAAGGCTCGAGTACTGCCTTCACTCAAATGGATAAACAGTAAATCCATATGTCGATCAGACAATATCAGCACCAGACATGGCATGTGTGACGCCACAGATTGTGATACACCCAATACCAACACAAACCCAACAGATGAATATTCGATAAAACAAGCAACAAATAAGTGAATATCTAGTGATGAAAATAAAGATGTAAGGGTGTGTCCGAACCGATAAGCCATATCAACTAGACTGATTTTGGTTGACATCTAGACCCCAACAAGGAGATCTAAATTCCCCTACACGGATTAGATCAACAGTCAGAGACTTTTTAGATTGGTTCCTTATTTTGAATTAGCCATCCATACCTTTTCCAAAGCTAACCCTACTTCAGCTAAAATAGCTTGTCGAAGTAAACGGTGAGGTAAGAAGCTTACGTAACACATGTCTCAGCCCTCTCAATTACTGAAGGTTTACAGCCTTACCAGCTGTCCTACCTTTTTTACTTAAGACTAAGTTTAGCTTCGATGTTCGTCATGTGGCGGTTTCCCGACACGCTACGAAGACAATGATAGTCAGACATTTATAGATTTATTATATCTTCCAACCTTAATGACCATGTTTCATAGGTGCACCAGGGAGGAGAAATGGAGTTTCTTAAGCGAAACCCAGCTGCCTGAATAGTTAGGACAACTGTAATGCTGTTGACTGAGGGAAAACATTTCGGTGCCGTCATGTTCTTGTAGAGTTAACTGTGATTTTTCACTATCAGACCTTCATAAGTGAGGATAACCTTCACCTCAAAAGTAGGTGATTTAGTTTTCCAATATCTATCCGGCATTCAGGCACGACACAAGCATGTCAATTTATAGAACTTAACAAGGTAATCACCATAAGCAAACCCAATCAGCAGTAAAGATACCACTTCCACTGAACACGGTTTACCATCTTCGTAGGTCCGAAATGAGTAAAAACGCAGGTCTGATCGAGGATTATGGATACCGCGTTATCACAGTTTATTTTCAGTGTGTTAAAAAGAGGCTAGCTCTAAATGCATCCAGAAAAATCTACTTATGTAATTTTCCTCGGATATAATCTGAACAATTGTAAACGTTCTTATTTGATTGAATTCCAGCATCAGCTGTTGAACGAGATCATTTTCAATGAATAATGATCCTCCCACCTCTAAAGTTTTGAACTAACAAGTCAAGCAGTTACTTTTATTCTTCATATGCTGGGCCCGCCTATTGCATCCGGATATGAGATTTCGTCTGCAACTAACTTTCTGCGGCTGATGCAGAACCCCAGGTAAGTGACCCGACCAGCAGCTGCTATCTTGACGTGGTGATCAGGCTTGCTTATCACAACGAGCTATGGTAGAAGGATGCTTGTTCCCTCGAGGTCCTACCGCGCCAGAAAGATCTGTTGGATAGTGGTAAGATAAAAGTAGTTACCGTTGTAGTGTAAATTAACACATTATGATGGGGTTCTGGAGGCAAAGAGGTACTGATGCTAGTTGGATGAGGTGTGACCGTAGTGAGGTGTTGCCCTTGGACGACCAGAAGGGCCACGTTGGTGTGGGGAGGCGATGGGAAAAGGTCGACCTCCAAAATAACACACCCCACCTGCTCGCTGCATGCCGATGCTCGCAACAGGGATTCATAGTCAGATTCGAAAGCAAACAAAGACGTCCCAAATGGCCATGTGTGACAGGCCTCAAGCAACTACCCCTAGGGCTCCGCAGTCACGTTAGTCTTTTTCTCTTTCGATATTTCAAGCAGAAATAGCCTTCCACGGCGTGGACAGCCAGAAAGTGTCAACCGCCCGCACGCTCCCAGTAGTACACAAGACCCAATCAAACACTATCATATCCCCCTCAACCCTGCCTCCTCCTTCTGATACTAGTATTAAACTTCTAGCACCTTACCCAACCTCATTCTGCGTCCATCCCCAACGATCAAAGCTTTCGGAACCTCGTTCCTAGTTTCTTAAGAACTCATGATGGAGATTACAACGCCGAACTGATTGATGCGCGAAGACTGGTTCCAGCTGACTTTGAGCGGAAGCAGCTTAAACGTAATTTGACCGAGAGTGTTCACATCGATTGCGATCAGTGGCAGGTGGCGAAGGCAAGAGAGATGGAGAGGGCGTTAGCGTTAGGTGGTAACACTCAGGAACTACTTGGGGTTATTAAGGATACGGAAAAGAAGAAGACGATGGTGAGTGGAATCATCAGAGAAAAGAATGGGACGCTGACAGCCTCCCAGGACAGACGGCTAGAAAGTTGGGCAAAACAGTTTGAAGCCCAGTTCAACTGGCCTTCAGCAACGCTTCAGTTACCCAACGTCCAGCCTGAACATGGATGGGACGTAGATATTGGTCCTCCAACTCTCCTTGAAGTTGATGAAGCTGTATCGAATCTGAAAGGATGCAAAGGAGCAGAGCGCGACAGTTTTCCAACTGAAATTTTCAAGCATGGAGGTAGGAAATTGCTGCTTGGAGCGACGAAGGTACTAGTTGGTGTATGGGGATGAGAGGTAGCGCCATCAGACTAGTGTACTGATGACTGATCATTTCAGTCTATATGTAGTCTTATGACAACCATAAGGGGGCCAGTTTGAATAATATTGTCCAAAATCCTGGGATCCATAGTTATCCGACGGCTAAGTGGAGCTCGAGAACAGCAAAGTGGAGAGGATCAGACAGGTTTCATACATGGACGAGGGTGCATCGATCAAATTTCCACCCTCCGACAAGTTCTGGAACACAGGCATACCTACCGACCAGTGGCCCGACACTTGCCACATTTGGTTGGCCTGAAGGCGGCATTTGACTCAGTCGGCCATGAGGTGTTGTGGCAGTGTCTGACTATAAAGGGAGTATCGAGCATGTATACAACGCTAATCGAAGCTGTCTACTGGAATCCACTCAGGTGTGTAAGGACTTATTGAGGACTTATTGTCATGTAAATTGATGAAACTAGTGGTGTTGGCCAGGGATGCCCACCGTCACCGTTACTATATATCTTCATAACGGACGTACCAATAGACATCACCGTGGGTACGTCTGGCTTCACAGGGATTTACGTGGTCCGTGGAGTTTGTCTGGTTGACTTCGAGTATCCAGACGACATTGTCCTGCTAGATGAAGACGTTGATAGAATGTAGTCTTGTGAACGCGTTGATCAGAAATCTGAGTATGTTTGGCTTGCGTTTCGCAGGCACCTGTCAAATGTATAGTGATGCTCCAGGACTGGTGTGCTTTAAGTACTCCCAGTTTAACGATAAGGAGTGAAGTGGTGGGATATGTCGATGGCTTCACTTACTTACTTGTGTAGTTGCATCAGCCCGAACGGTGTGGTTGTTGACGAGATGTCAGCTGTGATATAGAAGGTCCGTTTAGTATTTGACAACTTGAGTCATCTATGTCACCGACTGGCGAGATATCCGACTTTCAAGCAAAGGACGAGTATACTGGGCTGCATTCCGTTCTGTCCTGTTATACGGCTGAGACGGCCGTTGAAAGTCGAAGATATGATACGGCTACAAAGTTCTGATCACAGCTATTCTTCCTAGCATTACTCATGTTTGGTGGAATCACCGTACGCAAAATGTTGAGGTTAGGCGAGGAGTACTCGGCAAGACAGGCAAATCGATTGACAAGGTTGTGGACCTTAATGAACTGAGATGGCTTGGACATGTACTGTGGGTGCCGAGCCACCGCCTACCTTGACGATCCATGCTAGGGTAAGTTGGATTAGGTCGTAGGAGTGTTCAGACCAAGGTCTGGGACTAGTCGATGAAGTATCTTCCTGTTGGTATGAGTTGTGTAGGGAGGTGTATCCTGCCTGGTTGGGGTTTTCAAGACGAAAAGAATCAGTGGTTGATGACTTTTGGTGACATGACTGAAGATCGGCCACAGTGGCGCTGATGGGTTCACTGCTTGGCATATTCTAAGGCTTGAATATCTGCGCTAACCGTTATGTTTAGTTTGTTTGTTCTCACACTACTTTACCTTCTTTTATATAAATTTTTTTCTACCCACCTGTTCCTTGTATACTATTGTGAAGTGCGATAACTTTGGGCCGATGCAGTTGTGTGCGGGGTTCTGCGCTGATTTTGTTTGTCCGTCGGTCATAATTTTCAGAAAGATAGTAGCAGTATTGTGTATGAAGGATGCTTTATGATGGACGACTACAGCATTTGAATTGAAAACTTGATAAGCACGCACGTTAGACGTGTGTTTCTCCTGACACTGGTTCAGTAGGATTATATATTTTAAACGGTTAACGGCTGTAACATTTGAGCTGTAAGATCTGATTGTTATTCGGTGGAGTGCTTGGTCTCATGGTAATAAAAATAATTGAACATCTAAAGTTTTCTGATTGTTGTGGTAAATTATTAGTAAAATAGTTGAAACTATGGTAAAAGTGTTCTCGTAAAAAAGTTTTGACACTAATAACAAATCAGGTCAAATTCACGCGAAAAACGGATTATGTTTATATACAGACAGACATATGATTGCTGACAGTCAATGATAACGAGGATAAGAGGAGCCGGATGACCCATATGACCAGAAGGTAGGTTTCGTATTGGCTGTGGCTGTTGCTGCTACGAAAAGAGAGAAATGTAAAAGCAAGAAAAACAAGTCAGTGATACGCATTTCCCCCTTTCGAATTAATTAATAAACAATTTCATGTCAATAGACTTTAAAAGATATGTTGCTTTGATACGTGATATGCTTACACACAATGTGTAATAATAATAATAATAATAGTAATAATAATAATAATAATAATAATAGTAATAATAGTAATAATAATAGTGGTAATCATCAATTGATTCTCTTCACTATGCTCAAATGTATCATGGATATAACTCTGATACGTAGCCATTGCGCATCTTTAACGACAAAATGATGAAACTGGCATTGGATTGGTAACGAATTCGTTCGCCTCCTTCAATGCTAAAAAGAATACCAGTTGTCACTTGTTAAGATATCGCTGTGACGTTTTTTAATGTCCAATTGAAATAGCTAAGACTGGATTTCGAGGGACATGAATTACCTTACGATTACAAATAAATCTCAGTAGTGATTATCAAGCAAAAAAGAATGTAGTTACATGCAAATGACCTCCAATAATCTAAAGAGAAGTGTTCCCTGGTGTCATTTACTACTTATGTTAAGGCTATAGAGATATCTGAGAACTTATGTGTGTAATGATATCTCTGTGAACATAAATTTTATGAAGCAAAACGTCAGACAGTGTGAAGATGATACAAACTATACAACTTGTAGGGGGGACACTGTGCTACAAAACATTACAACGAGTGTCAGTTTATTATTGACTATCGCCGTGTGATTTTTTTTTCACTATTATGACCATAAAGATATGAAAGCTATCCTATGAAGCATTTTCCGTCCCTTCCTTAACAAATTTCTCGAGTGGAAAATCAAATGTGGTACAAAGCAGACAAACAAAATCAACAAAGACCAGGATTCACTACGTAATGGTTCAAGTGGCCACACCTCATATCAACACATCAAACAGGAAAGATAAAGAAATAGAAGAAAGCGGTCGGAAGTGAAAGTCGTCATAAGATAACAAAGAGTAAGGAAATACTGAATTCAGTATGTTTTATTCTGTCCACCTCTTTTCACCTAACGTTATGCGACGAGGGAAACGTTGACTGGGTATGCGTAACACAAGTGCCAGCCACCTGAGTCGATGAAGGTTCACAACCTTATCAGCCAACTTTTTTACCCTCCTTGAAAATCCACACCTGACTTCTACGTTACTCACATGGTGACCCCATGACACATGGCAGCAGTTGTCAAATAGCTGAAGCTTTCCCATATCCTCCACATATAGTGGCCATGCTTCATAACCATATAGGAGAACAGAGCAAATTGTAGCGCAGTATACTCAAAACTTAATAGAAAGTCAAATATCGTGGTGGCGCCAAAAATGGTGTAAGTTGGAAAGAGCCGAGTGTGTTTTCTGTATCCGTGCCGACATTTCTCCGGCCACTGATCCACCAGAGCTGATCTGACTTCCTAGGTCAATGAAGTGATGTACGCGCTTAATCACTGGACTGATCGTTAGACAGGACATCAATGAAGACCAGTCTGAGAACAACAATTCCCATTTAGATGGCTAGAAACGCACCACAAACATTTTCGAACTGCCACGCCACTCAAGATGTCCAGAAGCTTCTGCATCTTGTTAACGTCTTCACCTGACAGGACTATGACACTGGGGATTCTCCTGTGATAAGACCGATCATTATAAAGTCAGATGACAACAGAAAGCCGTCCATAATTGCAGCAAGTGCCAGGGATCAGTGTGTCTATGCTCCAGAACCTAGCAGAGAGTGAATATATCTAGTCGATAAATCCACAGATAAGTCTGAAACCTAACTAGTCTCCTCAGATTTGCTGTCCCTAGCTCTCCTCAGACGTCTAATGATAAAAAACGTCGAATGTTAGACACCATGCTCGTCAGGCTGATTCTCCTGTAGTCCTCACAAGAGGATTTCTCCCCTTTCTTGAGGACAATCTGTGATTGAGACCAGCCAGAAGGGATCATATCCGAATTCCATACACCAGATAATACTAGTAAATTTGATCAATATTCCCATACTACCATTTTCAAAAACCACAGATACCTGTCTGCTTGGTTCTGCTGCCCTTTCTCGTTTCAGATTATTTACAGTCTTCTTAACCTCGGCAACAGTTAGAGGCCCCATTCCAATGTTCCACTGAGAGTTTGACTGGATGGAGGGAAACGGAATAGTAGCTGGAATCTACACTTATTGTTTCAGTCAGCCCCTCTGTGAGTGGACCGCAAACCCATCCTTCTACTCAATAGCCTCACTAACCATTGACATTTTGTCACTGTATACTTGATAATTTTAAATAGCTATCTACTGTTACCCATCATTAAGACGTTTTACACCTCTTCGACTTTCGCTTCAACCACTGTTCCCGGTCATTGTATAGACTTCTTGTCAATATACATTTGAATTCCCCCCTTCGCTGCTCTTGAAACCTACAAAAATGCGTTCATGCGTGTCTAATAATTCAAAAACTGTTAAGATCCACCGATCCTTTATGACCAGTCTCTGAGAGTTGGCTACGGTCTTCACCGCGGTTTTCTCAGCAGATGAGATAACGTCACTCTTCTTCCAGATGAGTATTGCTCTTCTGTTGCGACAACTTTCTAACCAGTTTCACGCACAAATCAACTTGTCTTCCCACCGCCGAGCTGCACTCGCAACGATCTTGTGGCTGCAGTTTTCCTGCGTGCATTTAGGAGCAAACATACACAAGTTTGAAACAGCGTGTGATTGCTATCCAAACACGTTCCTCAGAAGGAGCGCCAATCGATTCCCGACCCTCCAGCGGTAACTGACTCAAGGAGGCAAGGTAGTCTTCGGTAGAAGGCATCCTTCACTTCATCCGAAATGCAGTCAGTGGTGCGTAAGCAGAGATCATAAAGAGACAACGACAAGTCCCACTACTCTATTTAATCCTCACTCTGCCACCCAATCAGATAGCATATAGGCGGCTGTCAACTGAGATCCGATCGAGGAGTACACTTACTTCTTCACCTACGCCTGCAAAACGGCGAGAACTAGTCACCGGATCTCAAGAAACTCCAACGATGAATTTCACGGATTCACCATATTGGTTGGGTGAGGGATAAGTGAATAACCACTACTGGGTCCTGTATGCTTGTCTCACAAAGAGCAAACACCCATGATCCGAGTCAATATGAGAGTAAAACTTGGGCACTGTAGTAGATTATAATTCCATTTCAGTCTGTTTATTAGAAAGGTCACACAGTGAAACAGTATTATTTACTGGATGACGTTTGAGATATAATTTATTTTTTATATTTATATTAGTTAAATGCACAACTTTGAAACATCTCACATAGTTCTTCTGTCCTTCTTCGAGTTAAGGGTAGAAGAATTTTCCATTTACCTGTGGAAAATGTAAACAGCCATCTTTTCGCAGTAGACAATGAGGCACAGCTATCGTGTGAGGGCTAGTGATACTACCTGGCTGCGCGAGCCTCGGTAGGTGAAGCGGGGTTCGAACCCGTGACCTACTGGTTGAATGTCGACTTCCTTAACCACTGAGAGAAAGCTCTCGAAGTTGTGGAGTTACCAGCTATGAATATGGGCAATAAATTATGTCCCAAACGTTATCCAGTAAATAATACTGTTTCACTGTGTAACATTTCTAATAGACAGGATCTGAGTTTTGGCTACCGAAGCTTTTTTGGTCGATTTGACGGAGGATGCGAACATTTAAAGCTCCAAGTGAACCCTGAAGCGCGGTTTCAGCAGACCGGTGACGCTGTTCTGTGAACTCATATCGTTATCAAGAGCTATAGAGATGGAATAAATTAGAGATGACGTAGGGATGTTGATCGAGAGAGACGTGAAGGAAGATTAGAAGTTATGGATTTGAAGGTTGACAGTCATCTCTGAGGGAAGTTCAGTGGTGACAGTTTTGAGAGCGTTTGATGCCTCCTGATTGCTTTTTTTTAGTACCTTTATAAAAGAAGGGTGCGCGACCTTAAAGTCCAAGTGAGATCTGCTAGAGACTGGTGACACAGATTTTTTGGAAGTTTGCTTTTTGTGAATGAGACTAGGAATCTATATCGCCAGCAATGGTATGCAACGGAGTAAAGGGAAGAGTGCTATTTTAGAACAGGCGTTCACTGAACCCCCTCACACAGAGAAATCAGCATCAGAGTGGCACTGCTGGTCATCCGTGACAAACACGTTACCGCCGGTCACTCCACCGTCCAACCAGCAGTACACAATAGTAAGATTCAATAACACTAAGAAAAAAAGTGAGTCAGAATATATCAACTCGACTGTAACCACTACTTTGTTGTGGTGGTCAAACTTGTCTACTTTAATGAACCATTCCGCACAACACCTGCTCCATTAAGAAATACTAGACCAGAAAGGTTTGTTGCAAAGCAAAGATATTGAAAGCAGCTAATTTTAAAGTTACAGCATAATAGTAGAACAATTTCAGGTTGATGGATAAATTCGTACTGCTAACTACGCCTGGCTATGGAATCAGTGAGTTGTTTAACAAGAATAATTTTCATTCACAACTGATATTGTCTTCCCTTCATCGAAATAAGGGGATAGAAAAGACTGATTTTAAAATGAGCATACGCCTCTTTTGCTTCAAAGATTCCCGTTAGTGATGTTAAAGGGTTTCAGAGTACAAATCCAATGCGTATACATCTGAATCAGAAACTTTCAGAGGTGACGTGACTGGTTTCAAACAGCTGTCTTAGGCGCTATGTAGTTAATATCTTCCGGTTTACATGATCAGGTTGAATCCACTTTACTCTTCAGACAGATTTCAAGAATAAGTAACGTTTTATGATGTAGGGAGATAGAAAGCGTTAACCCCCGTATAACTACGGCAACTTTGAAATCAGTCGTGTTATTTACCATTCACAGTTTTCATTACGCCCATCGATTTAAAGAAAATACTTGTTTATAAAACATTAGCTATCGAAATGATAGCTTACTATATTGTTTGCATAGGTAGTCAGTAACTTTAGTGAAGTCTTGGTTCGACTCTACAAAGACATGTAAAAGTGTTATTTATAAGGATTATTCGATCGAAAATGAAAGACTAGTTACTTGATGTAGATAACCTGATCCAGTACCAGGCATATACTGAGATTGAGCTGATTTTGTTGAGTTTGTATTCAAGAGCCCACTACTATTAGCAGATGATGCAGAAGAGGAGGGTGGAGGTGCGATTGATGTATCACTATTCCGTGAGATAGTCGAATACGTTTATTCGCTGACATATCATCGTTCTGTAGATATCAAAATGGTAAATAAAAACATCAGTATTTATGTTTCGATTAATGCAAATACATAATACATCAACAATTTCAACAATAAAAAGACTGAAAAATAGGAAAGATATCGTTATACTTCCAGCAGACAAAAGACGCACTACAGTAGTCATGGACAAAGAAGACTATATCAAGAAGGCAGAGGAATTACTCAAAGACAAAAATGTGTATCAACCACTTGAAACCAACCCTATCCAAAAGTTCGACAACCAGATCAATAAAACCTTGAACAAACTCTTCAAAGCAGAAGAAATAACAAAGCAAGACAAATGGCATATGAAATCTAATGGACCTATCCTTCCTCGATTCTACGGCAGACCAAAACTACACAAACCCGATATCCCTCTACGACCAATAGTCTCACTTACGGGAACCCCAACATACAACATATCAAGAGAACTTTCGAGAAAACTGAAACACCTCGTTCAATCATGAGGACATTCCATCAAGTCACCAACAGAATTCTTAGAAAAGATCAAAAATATTTAACATAGAAAAAGATGAATTAATGATATCCTTCGATATTACAGCACTATACACATCCATCGAACCTCAATTGGCTAGGGAAACGATATCCCTCCTGATCAATGAAGACAAAAACCTTTCAGAACGCATAAAACTCAAATGTTCAAGTCTGATGGAACTCATCGACCTTTGTATGACAACATACTTCCAATTCAACGACAAGATATACAAACAGATGAAAGGAACTCCAATGGGATCTCCGATATCCGGATTAATTGCAGAAGCAGCGATGCAGAGACTGGAAGCCATTATTCTATCTGTGATCAAACCAAAATTTTGGATTCGTTATGCAGACGACACTTTTGTCATCATTAAAAAGGATGATATAGAAAACACCCACAGTTTGATCAACAACGTTTTCAGTGACATCAAATTCACAATGGAGAAGGAGTCAAACAACCAACTACCATTCTTGGATGTTTTAGTCAGTAGGACAAATGCCGGAAAGCTGGAAACCCAAGTGTACAGGAAGGCAACACACAATGACCAAATCCTCAACTACAACAGCAACAACCCAACAACACACAAAATCAGTTGCGTGCAGACTCTATTCAAAAGAGTGAGAACACACTGCAGCAAAACAACTTCATGGAGAAACGAAGAAAATTACCTGATGTCCACCCTAAAGAAGAACGGCTACCCACGAAACTTTATCAGAAGATGCCTATCCCATACATCACAAACTACAAAGTCATCGACAGAAATCAACAAACGCATCATCCTACCATACATAAAGAATATATCAGAAATCACAACAAGATTGCTGAGACCACTTGGAATTGGTGTGGCTCATAAACCAAGAAATTCCCTCCAAACACTATTATGTAGACCAAAGGATGCAACAAGCAAAGAAGACAAACCGAATATCATTTACAAAATCAACTGCAATAACTGTAGTCAGCACTACATTGGACAAAGCGGCCGCCCTCTTCGCCTTCGTCTACATGAGCACCAATCGGCTATTAAACGCCACGACATTTCATCACTCATTTCAATGCACGTGGATAATTATGATCATGAATTGAATTTGGACAATATATAAATTTTGGACAGAGGAAACACAAAGAATATCAGAGAATTTCTAGAAGCTGGCATTCAGGTCAGTCAGTCAGTCAGCAATCAATAGATGTATAGACGTAGACCCGATCTATCAACCAATAAGAAAAATGATAAACGACAGAAAGGTCAGAGGTGAAGCAGAGGAACAGCCAACAGGAAAGTCTATACAATCAATGACACAACAATCGAAGGGAACAACCAATCACAGACCACATCGTCAGAGCAAGCTACTAAATCACTCACGGAGAGATATTGACAGCTCACTTCATACTGAAGTTGGTGCTGATGATGTCGTCTAGCAAGGCGATGAAAGCTTCACGATTAAACAACCCAGCTCAGAGAACACAATATAACGAAGACAGACGTATTATTTTTTAGTCAGTGGGGGTTGAAATCCTATGATATCTGCCTTTTAAAAATTCAATTGGTGATATTGGATGACCAATATCCAATGTCATCAGTGGATATCTGTGGGAACTTCTTAGTTTTCTGGCTCCATAGGTTACTGTTTCTCGTCATAACTTAAGAAGTCCTTCCAGAAAACAAATCATCGATCGGTCCTGAGTTGCTAATCACTTTTTGGTTTCTAGGGAATCTGAAACTATGAAGATAGTTTTCATCATAGGCTAGGACCAACTAAAGCAACATGAGGCAACTGTTTACTTCTATTTTGAGAATACTCACCTAGCCCGAGGCATCTAGATGCTGTCAATTTGTGATCAAAAGATCTCACGAATTCACCGTTTCCGTTAAAAGTCAATCCTGATGAGATAGAATAATTTCAATAATTAAATAATGAGTCACTTTTGCAGCCAGATACAAACCGTCAATCTAATGGTCGATTTGGGCAATATGATTGGACTAGGAAACAAGTTGTAGCTTAGAGCTAACCACAAAGCACTCGCATTCATTTTTGATGTAAGTAGAAGATACGTTTTTGTTCGAATTTCAACGCACCCATTTCAAAATAGTGTTATTCTTTCTAGTTAAATCAGTCGAAATTCCATTGAGATGACGACCAATGAATCACTCATTAGAACAGAAATGATTAGGAAACTTTTTTAAAGATAGTTTGATTAAGAAGAAATGCGAAAACCCAGTTTTTCCCGGTTACAATCCACACTGGTTGAACGCAAAATCAAAAGTTTGATTATACATGCAGTCTTTAGAGGCCAGGGAACAACAAAAAAATTGGCAGTGGTTCGATTTAAGTTCATCCAAATAGTTCTTAAGTTTCCAAATTTTTCTCCAGTTTCCATCACTCTCCATGTAATATAATAACCTGTGTAATCATTATTCACAAGCACTTAATTATGGCAACTGGAGCTATGGATTAAGGGTTTAAGGAGATGACTATCACGGGTTGAGGCCCGCTCTACCTATCGAGGTTTGGACAGCCAGTTAGTATCACTAGCCCTCACACAGTAGGTGTAGCTCATTGCCTGCTGCATGGATGTGCATGAGGTGGCTGGGTGCGTTTCGTTCATATGGCAGCTCAGTAAGTGCATACAATAAATTCGATTTGATCTCCAATGATTATCTTGTGAAACTAACTGTTACGCAATCAGAAACCTCTTTGACTGGCCTAATATAGATTCATTGTTGATTCTAGTTATTCACTGAAACAAGATTCACTGGCCCAAAACAATACAAGACATGAATTGCAAATTTGACTAGTTATAACCCTAATGAACGATAACACAATGGTTTAACCATCAAATTCGACAGCATTTTTCTTTCCTAAAATACATCATCAGACTAGTTGAAATTCTGAGAGAATATGGATTTTAGAGTGATGACTCAGTCATTTTAGGTTGGATTTCACTATCGAACAAAACTGAAGACTATGATTATATATGGGTTCTGTGGATAGAAAGATCAAATTATGACCTCATACAAAAGTACAGAAAGAGGAAAGAAATAGGCAGATATCAGAATGCAAAAAGAGAGAACAGATAAATAAAAGTTAATGAATTATTGGTGATTCGGCAGGTGACAGGGAGTGAATACATCTGCGCTATTTCCCTTAGCTTTAAACTATCCACCAAGTTTTCAACCACTGATTCTTGGTAGTTCAAAGATCCTAGCTAGACGGTTTACACTTCCGTACGCAGCTTACACTAATAACCGAGTGACTCAGTTATAGGTTCCATGTTCTTACTTAGTCATCATTAAGCTTCTTTGACGCTAATTCTATTTCAGCCACAGTTATGCTTTGGAGTAGAAGTTAGTTCGTCATGCGACATATATGCCTGTTACTTCAGTCGTTGAAGATTTCCAACCTAATTCACTGACTTACATTTATAGTTTAATATTCACTCTACAGTTTCAACAGACACAGGGAGGGTTAGGGAAATACCTATAATCGGAAAAATGTAAGCTACTGGCACCTCTTTAAATATTTAAGTTTACGGCTGTAAAGTAGGACAGAGCCGCATCAAGATTACAAACATGGGTTATGCTTCACTAGTAAGGATTCTTAAGTGAAGTAAAGCAAGCATACAGTTATGAAGGATTAGAAGATACTGACCTGATGATGAGGTAATTGCCTTGTATGAGTATTAGGTTGGCCTGTGTTTATGTGTTGCTGATGTGTAGGTGGTTGATTTCCACCTGCTCTTTGTTGCGATTGCTGTTGAGTTGGCGGTGGTAACTGGGGATGTGGACCACTGTTTCCACGCTGTTGTTGCTGTGACTGCTGATGAGCATGACTATGCATACCTGAAGGATGTGCAGCTGTCTGTCTACTTGTGACACCACCGGCTGTAGTCTGTTGCGTAGGTTGCGTTACGTTCTTGTCTGCACCGGTTTGTTTCTCATCAGCATCATCATCAGAGATGAACTCTCGTTTAGGATAAGGAATGGGGAGATTTCCAAAGACACTAAAAACATACATTAGGTAAAAGTGCCTACGAAAGGGATCATCAATAGCAGACGATGAACTAAAGATTAAAATTAATAACTTACTGACATCTAAAATAAGCAGGTGTGACTAAGTAATTTGAAGACACTTTTTGAGAGTAGTACACTATAATCAGTCATAAATTACAAATGTGTCCAAATAACAAAATATTCAATGATACACCAGCAATGTGAAACGAATGTGGTCATAATTATCATAGTGGAAATCAAGTGTACAATCTAAGCTTATGGACGTACCTCATAAATTAAGATTTAGTCTTCTTTCAAAACACAAACCCTATTTGACTTCTTATTTTTGGGCCGATCTTAGACAGAAACGAAAGATCTATTTCCATTATTAACCTAACTACCCGCTGACTCCTGTAACGAATCTCACTTAACCAGAAACTAACGTTATACACTTGATTTCATTAGATGTCAGCAAGTAATTGAAGCAAGAGCGAGTCAAAGATACTCACTCTCTTCTTGCCACTGGCCAAAAGTGGTTATGCATTACACTACCATGTAGAAGAGTCGACCCACATCATTCTCTTTAATGGATCCATTACCTTCCGTGGCGATATTGAAAATTGGGCGTTATACTATTCCGATTACAGATTTAAGTCCATAATTTAGACGGAACGTTTGAACTGGCTAGAGGTGTAAAATAAACCTGCACTATTTATCCTCTACTATAAAATCTGAAGTACAAACTGAACACTAAACATTCGCAAACATCTCTAAAGAGTTATTACTACTTGTTGATATGCTTGTAATCCTCCGTTGTTATAATGGGTAGAACTGTTCGAACTATAGTGGCATATGGGCTCCTATGCGGATGGCTCGATATTGCCAGCATATTTATTATGATAATTTACTTGGTCGAACAATTCGATATAGCATAATAACAGAGAATTACAAGTATATCAACAAATAGTAATAACTAATACATGTTGTACAAGAGGTGGCTATCGTGCCTTAGTGGCCCAGTGGATAACACTTCGGCGTTTGAAGCGTGGGTACGATGTTCGAGTCTCAGTGAGGACACCATTCCCTGGGGTGCAGGTACATTCAGTTAACGAGTCCCAAATAGGATGAGACGGGCGTCCTGGATTCTTGTGCTAGCCACGATAAAGTAAATTATCTCTAAAGAGTATTCAAAACTCTGCTAAACACCCATTCCACGAAAACATGACACCAACACATTATGTTCCGGTTTGCATATCAGCGGCCCAACGAACCACAATGGCAAGAGTGCTTGTTCACTCGAGGCCACACACACACACACACACACACTAGAAAGATGTTACAGAGTAGTTATAAAAAAGGCAGTTACCACTGTAGCGTAAATCGCTACGCTACGATTAAATGGGAGGGACAAGTTGATCTGCTGGCTGGAAAAGGGTGTGACAGCAGTAAGTTGCTTCTCATGGATGGCAGTAGAACCATGTCGAAGCAGCCTATGTGTAAGCAGGACGACGCGTTAGAAATGAATGCCTCTTAAACATGGAAAACTCCCTCCCACCCACCAGTCCTCCTCCGCCGTTAAAACAACAGAATTCTGAATCAACAATACTGAAGAGCTTGTGTGTGATAGGCTTCAAGCAGATGTCCCATGGGATCAGCTATCAAACAAACCCTTCCTTCTTCTCTCTCTCAAGACTCATACAGAAATAGCTTCCATGTTATGGGCAGACGGCAAGTAGCAACCACCCACACAAATTAAAAACCCACCGAACCTCCCTCCTGTTACTTTCACTTCTACCTTCACGTCCTCACAGCGATACTCATTCTGAAGGAGCTGCAAATGATATTGATCCTAGTACAGAAACAGAGATAAAGACAGATAAAAACCTACATCCAAAATTTAATTCAATGTAAACGCATTTCCACAACGTTACCCGAACTCATTCTTGCGACAAAACTCATTCCACTTTGCTCTGACCACAGTGAAGAGCGAAAGCAACATAAACGTAAATTAACCACGAGTCTTCGCTCGCAATAGTCATGAGCAGTGGTAAGCGGTAAAGGCAGGACAGATTGAGATGGAGCAAACACCAACATCAGGTAATTTATATCCGGACACTATTTAGACCTATTGGGGATACCGGCAAGAAAAGGACGATGGTTAGTGAGACAGATCATCACGGAAAAGGATGGAACGCTGATAGCCTGTCAAGAAAGATGGATAAATGTTGAGCAAATCACTTTGTAGCACAGTTCAACTGGCGCACAGTAGTAACACTTCAGTTATCCACCATCCAGTCTGAACCCCAGTCGCACATAGATATCGGTCCTCCAACTGTCCTCGAAGTTTAGAAGGCTGTATCGAACCTGAAACGATGCGAAGCAACAGTAACATCAGGACATGACGGCTCGCCACTGACGTTTATAGGGATGAAGGTAAGAAATTGTTGAGTGGAGTAACGCAGATGATAGAAGGTGTATAGGAATCAGAGGTAGACCCGTCAGACTGAACTATTTCATTGATCATTGCAGTCTGTCAGAAGAAAGGAGAGAAGTATTCATGTGACAACCATATGGAGATCACTTGGAGTAATATTGTGTCCAAGATCCTTGGGTCCATAGTTAACCGACCCATAACTGGAGGTCGAGAACAACAAACGTGAGAGAAGCATGTAGGCTTCGGACATGCATGCATGAGAGTGCATCGATCAGATTTTCACCCTTCGACAGATCCTGGAACACAGGATTAATTACCACTTGCCAGCAGTCAACAATCATCATATTCCTTGACCACACGGCTGCATTCGACTCTGTTAACCACTAGGTGGTGTTGCAACAGTATCTGACTTTGAAAAGAGTACCAAGCAAGTATGTAGCTCTAATCAAAGCTGTCTACTCGAACTCATCCAGCTTAGCTTATGTGAATTGACGATAACTAGTGGTGTCCGATAGAGATATCCACTGTCAACGTTCTTGTTCAACTCCGTTATAGGTGTACTGATAGACATAGCCACCTTAGATACCTCTGACTTCACGAGGATTGATCTAGTGTCTCTGGAGGGTATGCATCTGGTTGACTTTGTGTATGCAGCCGAAATTGTGTTGCTAAGTGAAGACGCTAACGATGTGTAGGGTCTTCTGAATGTCTTGAGCAGAGATCTGAGCATGGTCAGCATGCATATTTGGCAACTGCCAAATGTCAGATGACGCTTCAGGAGTGGTGTGCAACCACTCCTAGTGTAGTGATAGAGAGTGAAGTTATTGAATGCGTCGAATACTTTCCTTGCTTGGGGAGGAGTGACATCAACCGAAACAGGTTGGTTGCTGACGGGATCTCATATCCGGTGGAGGTCAGTCTGCCATGTACCCCCTTGCATCATCTCTGACGCACACTGGTGAGATGTCCAACTACCTCTTGAGAGACGAGCGTACTGCGCTGCAGTCCACTCTATCCTGTTATACGGCTGTGTGATATGACCGTGAAAGGTAGGAGATATGCAGAGACTTCAGGTTTTTAACCATAGGTTTTTTCATAGCATTGCTCATGTATGCTGGAATCACAATGTTCGCAATGTGGAAGTTAGGTGTCTAGGGTACTAGGTAAAGAAGGCTAGTTAGTCGATGAGGTTGTGAATTTTTAGTGTCTGATGTGGCTTATCGGTGTGTTCTTCTTCCTGGCGAGTCACTGCCTACCTCGGTGTTCGATACTAGGAAGAGTTGTATTAGGTTGGAAGAAAACTCAGGGTGGCCAGATGTGCGGTCTTGTCACTAGTCCATGAAGTCCCTGACTGTTGGTCTGAGTCTCGTATATAGGGAGATGTAGACAACCTGGTTGAGATCTCCGAGACCAGAGGAATCAATGGTTTGAGACTCCTGGTGGAATGGCTGAAAATCGGCCACAATGGTGCAGATATGTTCACTCTTTGATGTTTCCTATAGTTTGAGTATTTCCACCAACCTTCATTTTCGAATTCGTTGTCCTCTCATATACCTTTTCTTACTTTGATACTAGTGTAGTATGAAGTAAGACAGGAGATATGAGTCACTGGACAAGCCTATGCGTAGGCTGGAACCGCCACGAACTGGCTGAGGACAACCCGAATAGCGTAGCTTTACTGGTTTTCGAAATGACGTACTGGTTAATTTATTTACTATATTATAGCTGTAATTTACACATTCCTCCATCTAACACAGTAACACTTTTTCCCAAATTTATTCTTCTGTTTAGTATTTTGGGTAATAAATATGTTAAAACTGCTTACTCATTGTTAGGCTTTTCCCCCTCTTTAAAGTAAGAATCTTCCATAGCTTCTGCAGCAGATAAACGTTTGACAGGATCCATCGTCAATAAGCGTCTGAGCTGTAACAATGAATAAACAACAATATTATGCCTTTTTTCATATTGGAACTCTATAAAAGGTGAAATGTCTGCATACTTTGCTAAAAAAGACAAACTCAACTATATTATTAGTGAATTTTCTACTCATTTCATCTAATCAGAAACAGCGTTAGCATGATTAAATAAACCATACGAACACTTCTACCAGTTAGTCAAGTGCAGTCAAAAGATTATACGTATTTTTTAGTGTTTGTTTATTTACAGATTTACAGTTTGAGGTGAAAATAACACAACTAGGTGTTGGTTAAATGGAAAATTCCATTGAAAAAATCCCGTACTCTAACAGAAAAGCTGCACCATTTGCTTACTGAACCGAGCTGCTTATATGAACGATCATCATTCAACGCTGCTGACTTGCATCAATGACCTCTAACCTTATGTTCCGCATGCGGAGTCATCGTCGAATGCAAACCAATCCGGTTTATGTTTAATGTACTAGGCTATGATCTACATAAGTGAGGATTTGATACTACCTAGTTGCCCATTATAGAAGTATGTAGAACGGGAGATAAAACATGAGATCCATTGTTGGAAAGTCTGGTGTTTAAGACAATGAGCCAACAGCAATGTAAGATCCTAGTTGGAAAAGACATAAGAAAGAAAGCAGCAATATACGATACCAGTCTATGAAGTCACTGACTGGATGTTATGTAGAAATATAGACTACCCGGATAGGTTTCTGCAGATCAGAATAGCGTATAAGCATTTAATATCTGAATTCCGAATATTTTATTGACTGAATTCTTTTTCAGGTTTCTTATGCTTCTGTCGTAACGCAAGCTGCCGTTTCACCTAGTGCATCTATTGCAAGGTTCTGTGTTGATTTTTTTCATCTATCCAACTAATCAAATCGATTAATGGTTTAAGTTAATCTGATTGATCATTAAGATGATGGAGAATGTTTGCAGCTCAGGAAAATGAATTTGATGGTGTTATGTTCCCTGAGCTTGATGGTCTAAACTAGTCCTAACAACGGATGTAAGAAATAGTAGTAATAATAGAATCACCACTGTTATGATAACAATATTGTTATCTAATTAACGTGATAATATATTTTCTGCAGAGAAACAAACGAATGAATGTTATTTTGCTTGAGATATATAAAACAGATAAACAATACAAAAGAGATGAATATAAAAATATGAATAAAGCGGATGCATTAGTTGAGGCAAACACAGTAGGCAAGGTAATGACAAATTATTCGCTCTCTTTCTGAACACAGAACTTAGACCAGATTTAAAGTGTCTGATTGCTATTGATTCTACGAAATGAAGCATCAGACGTTCTTTGTAGACTTACTTTAAAAACTATGTTTATACCTACACTGTCCAGAGTCAGCTAAATGGTATTTGATTGAATCTTTAAGTTAGTTTAAAATGATCGGTTGCAGGGTATTTGAAACACAATCAGGGAAACGAACACTGGAACACCTTTCTGAACAAATTGACGTGACAGGTATATGTGAATTTGTAAATACAGTTCGAAGTGATGTCGCATAAGTTCCTTTTCTATTTTAGTTATAACTATTGTTAGAACACAAACATGGTACAGCAAAGGCATCAAGAATTGGTCCACACAAAATAATGTAAAGCGAAGGAAAGTGGATAAATAAAAAAGAAAAACAAAATAGGAATAGCATAATTAGGGAAGTCCAGTAAGATACATTCAAAACAAAACATTCATTACTCCTCAGTGGCAGAAGACAGAAGGAAGCTACAGTACGAACGCCACTGGTTTCGATTCTGAGCCATATCTGATAACGTCTCAAGCCACTGAGTTACATGATTTTTCAGACTCTACCTAGAGAGCCCATGAGCACCACTGGTTTGGAATCAGCGTTTTCCATCTATTCTAGGTGGACCCTCAGTATCCACCAATCTAGTGATAAGCGCAGCACATTTGCTTATATCCTTTCACTTCTGTAGAAGCACCCCCGCCACGTGGAGGCCATGAATAGGACTTCTCTGGCAGAAGCTGTGAACGCATACCAGGGCGTTTCGGGGCTATGTGGCGAAGCCAGTGCTGAGTTCAGGAACTAGTTTCGTGGTTGAATACGTCCTGGTTTGAGATATCTTTAACAATCCACTAAGGAATTCTAAAACATCATTTCCTTGATAAAGCAAATGAATAAACGTTGACTTTTGAAAGTATTGTAATCAAAAGCCATAGAACAAATCAAAAAAGGTATAAAATAAATAATGAAGCGTGATGTGACGGTTAAGACGGAAAAAAATGTGGCCGCAGATATGTCACTGAAGCCGATTATGAGCTATATCACATAAAGTTCTCACTTACCGATTCCGTTCAACACGCAGGCCCCAACAAAGAAGTCTACATTCCCCACATTAGTTAGAAACTTTATGGAGTGATGTCGTGTTTTAGTCTCGCTAACTTTAACCCTTTCCCAACCCAGTACCAATTCAGCTAGCCCTAACGGTTATGGTAAACTATGAATAAATATACATAACACCGGAAGCTTAACGTCTACACTACTAAACTGTTGGTTCCACAATGCAAGACCAATGTTACGAAAGCAAAGACAGTTGAACACCTGTAGCCTTAATATGCCTTCCATCTTATGCCACGAGTGGCGTACGTTGGTAAATCCCAATCGAGGTTATACTATCCATGCTGATATTGCGTCGCTCGGGTTGATCCGACTTCCTAAGTAGGCGGAGGAGTCAACGCATCCAATTACTTCACTTTCTATTATCACGACGTATCAACGCATAATACTCTCGAAGAAACAATTCACTTTTCAGCGGTAGAAATGCAGTCGCAAGCACTTTCAAATTACCAAAATACTGAATTTTGTCACAGTTTTTACCTGAAAAGGTTATATAGTCTGAATACTCTATTTAAACTATCGATAACTTGTACAGCTGTTATTCTCTGAAGAAGCGATTCCCACGAAGTCGCGAAACGTCAGAAATTTATTTTTCTGCTTCATTTGGATTTTACAAATATATTTCATTGATAAGAGTTTATCAACTTTTTATTAAAAAGTAAGGTATCATAGTATTCACCCTTGATTAGAGAACTTGGTTGGGTATCGAGGAAGCTTATTCTGCAACTGAAATTTTTATCCTTCTTCCTATCCAGAGCCAACTGGATGTCATTAAGATCTGTGGCTCTTGAAGTGATTCCGCTTTAGTCTAGAAATAGTTCTAACTAATAGCTGATAAACAGATTAAATTCTAGGTTACAAGCATACTGGTGACTGGTACGAAATATTTGATATGATATGATATACTGCAGTGTATAGTCGTTCTTTTGACTAAATGAGAGAATTCAATCGGTACAACCAGATCTTAATTGTTGTCTAACAGTCAATCTGTTTACGTGAACTAATAAGAAAACACAATGAATGCACAGTATCAGTAATACTTTCAAGAACGTTACATAATATCATGAACAGTAAATAGTGTTGAATATAATAGTTACCAGAGCCAATTCTCTTTCATCCACTTTGAACTTTTTTTCTTCAAGGTAACCCTCTAATGAATATTTGCCATAGGTTTTCTTGCTAATAGAATCTCGCATTAACTGATGATAATCTGGCATCTTTTTCATATCAACCCAAGCATCATCTACAATGAAAAAAACAATCAATCGTATTCATGGATGTGGCAAAATTAACATGACAATGAAATCATAATGATCACTAGAATTGTCTAACGGAAAGATAGAAAACATAGGGTACTATAAGAAGTCTGTTCAAATCAATGTGGCGAAAGAATAGTACTGATAACTAAAATGTAACACATGTCTGGGTTGTATCATAATAACTTTGTTATTAAGGTTGTTATGCTACGCTGTAATTCATATCCATGACATAAGAATGAGGATCGCATTCAGCTTCTGACAACGAGTAAAACTTCAAAAGGTAATTCTAATTGACATCTACATTAGAGCTCCACATGACATGACTGATTGTCATGCGAATTAACTTCCACACAGTTGACTAACTCCAGAGGTCAAATGAAATCTCTATGTAACTGGTTACATATAGCTGCTTGAAAAACATTAGAATTCGATTCCGTTGAGTTGGTTTTACACTTCTGAAATAGCTTATAGTTAACACGACATCATGTGGCAAAAACGAGCGTGTTATATTGGAGGCTGATCTTGTTAAACACATCACTCCAATAATGTACAGAAAGTAATCACTGAAAATGATGGCTATATTATGATAGTAACGAGAGTAAAACTTCATTCTTGAACATGAAATTAACTGCTAGTCAACATGTCAGGTTCAAACTTCTGATCAGTTAGCATCTTGGGCTGTATATTGTTAAACTGCCTTTTCGATGTAGCAGTAACATCTAATATCACCTTAATATCACTTTCAAGTATGAATGAATTCATGACAAAACCTAGGCACAAATACCTAGAAATATATATAGGCTTTCAATTCCGCAGTCTGTATTAATCAAACACAAAACTTGTATGGAATGATAAAAGTTCTTTCAACACCTCAACTATATCATCTATACTTCTGGAACCACCTTTTAACTACTGTTACGCAGATCAGTACGCCTTGAAATGCACTCACAGCGATCGCTTGCACGTTAATTAACGCAGACCAGACGACTCAACAGACAAAGAAGACAGATCAAATATTATTTACAGAATCGACTGCAACAAATGCGATCAACACTACGTTGACCGAAATGGTCGCTCTCTTCACTTTCGTTTATATGAACATCAGTTGGTTATTGAACGTCATAACATTTCGTCATTCATATCAAAGCATGTGGATAAATAATGGACATGAATTCAGCTTTGAAAATGTGAAAATCTTTGACAGAGGAAACAGAAAGAATATAAGAGAATTCCTAGAAGCTTCGCATTTGGATCAGTCAACAATTAATAGACGTACAGACATAAATCCCCTCTACCAGCCAATAAGAAAAATAATAAATAACTGCAAGGTCAGAGGTCAGGCAGAGAAACAACCAACAAGAAAACGCACGCAATCAATGACAACAATCTAAGGAAACAACCAATCACAAACCACTTCGTCAGAGCAAGCAACTGAATCACTCACTGAGATGCCCTGATAGGTCAATTCATCTTGAAGTTATTGTGGATGATGTTGTCTAGAAAGGTAAAGAAAGCTTCACTATTAAACCAACCAGCTTAGAGAAAAAACATCCAAACAAACATCCACCTGAGCTACAAATATTCTTCACCATTTGCACGTCAAGTGCCTAAACTACTGAGCAACAGCTAAACGATTATACATAATCTTCTTCAGTCTAATTACCACAAAAAAGTTTTTGTATTTATTGACCGATCTCACAAATTGATGATCTGTCACCAGAATAGCAAATCATACGTCCTTGAGTTGCATCCGATCAATAACTTCGTTCAGTTACCTTGTTCCGTCGTTAACTGAATCAAAGAAAAGTGCAAAAGTATTCAGTAATACTAGTTGTATAAGTGAACCCAATTATTACTTTTCACAATGCAATGACACACATGTCAACGTCATTAGTGCGCAGAACACATTTTAATAAAAGAAAAAAGACAAAACCAACTAGGAATCTCACACAGAAGTGTATATCTCCAAGTTTGCACACAATTCACGGTAGCATGCAGAGAAAAAGACCATCAAAGTTAGAAAAGGTATATGAGAGGACAACGAATTCGAAAATGAAGGTTGCTGGAAATACTCAAACTATAGGAAACGTCAAAGAGTGAACATATCTGCACCATTGTGGCCGATTTTCAGCCATTCCACCAGGAGTCTCAAACCATTGATTCCTCTGGTCTCGGAGATCTCAACCAGGTTGTCTACATCTCCCTATATACGAGACTCAGACCAACAGTCAGGGACTTCATGGACTAGTGACAAGACCGCACATCTGGCCACCCTGAGTTTTCTTCCAACCTAATACAACTCTTCCTAGTATCGAACACCGAGGTAGGCAGTGACTCGCCAGGAAGAAGAACACACCGATAAGCCACATCAGACACTAAAAATTCACAACCTCATCGACTAACTAGCCTTCTTTACCTAGTACCCTAGACACCTAACTTCCACATTGCGAACATTGTGATTCCAGCATACATGAGCAATGCTATGAAAAAACCTATGGTTAAAAACCTGAAGTCTCTGCATATCTCCTACCTTTCACGGTCATATCACACAGCCGTATAACAGGATAGAGTGGACTGCAGCGCAGTACGCTCGTCTCTCAAGAGGTAGTTGGACATCTCACCAGTGTGCGTCAGAGATGATGCAAGGGGGTACATGGCAGACTGACCTCCACCGGATATGAGATCCCGTCAGCAACCAACCTGTTTCGGTTGATGTCACTCCTCCCCAAGCAAGGAAAGTATTCGACGCATTCAATAACTTCACTCTCTATCACTACACTAGGAGTGGTTGCACACCACTCCTGAAGCGTCATCTGACATTTGGCAGTTGCCAAATATGCATGCTGACCATGCTCAGATCTCTGCTCAAGACATTCAGAAGACCCTACACATCGTTAGCGTCTTCACTTAGCAACACAATTTCGGCTGCATACACAAAGTCAACCAGATGCATACCCTCCAGAGACACTAGATCAATCCTCGTGAAGTCAGAGGTATCTAAGGTGGCTATGTCTATCAGTACACCTATAACGGAGTTGAACAAGAACGTTGACAGTGGATATCTCTATCGGACACCACTAGTTATCGTCAATTCACATAAGCTAAGCTGGATGAGTTCGAGTAGACAGCTTTGATTAGAGCTACATACTTGCTTGGTACTCTTTTCAAAGTCAGATACTGTTGCAACACCACCTAGTGGTTAACAGAGTCGAATGCAGCCGTGTGGTCAAGGAATATGATGATTGTTGACTGCTGGCAAGTGGTAATTAATCCTGTGTTCCAGGATCTGTCGAAGGGTGAAAATCTGATCGATGCACTCTCATGCATGCATGTCCGAAGCCTACATGCTTCTCTCACGTTTGTTGTTCTCGACCTCCAGTTATGGGTCGGTTAACTATGGACCCAAGGATCTTGGACACAATATTACTCCAAGTGATCTCCATATGGTTGTCACATGAATACTTCTCTCCTTTCTTCTGACAGACTGCAATGATCAATGAAATAGTTCAGTCTGACGGGTCTACCTCTGATTCCTATACACCTTCTATCATCTGCGTTACTCCACTCAACAATTTCTTACCTTCATCCCTATAAACGTCAGTGGCGAGCCGTCATGTCCTGATGTTACTGTTGCTTCGCATCGTTTCAGGTTCGATACAGCCTTCTAAACTTCGAGGACAGTTGGAGGACCGATATCTATGTGCGACTGGGGTTCAGACTGGATGGTGGATAACTGAAGTGTTACTACTGTGCGCCAGTTGAACTGTGCTACAAAGTGATTTGCTCAACATTTATCCATCTTTCTTGACAGGCTATCAGCGTTCCATCCTTTTCCGTGATGATCTGTCTCACTAACCATCGTCCTTTTCTTGCCGGTATCCCCAATAGGTCTAAATAGTGTCCGGATATAAATTACCTGATGTTGGTGTTTGCTCCATCTCAATCTGTCCTGCCTTTACCGCTTACCACTGCTCATGACTATTGCGAGCGAAGACTCGTGGTTAATTTACGTTTATGTTGCTTTCGCTCTTCACTGTGGTCAGAGCAAAGTGGAATGAGTTTTGTCGCAAGAATGAGTTCGGGTAACGTTGTGGAAATGCGTTTACATTGAATTAAATTTTGGATGTAGGTTTTTATCTGTCTTTATCTCTGTTTCTTTACTGGAAATAATATGATTACCGGTTTTTGTAGGTTGAAGCTCGTTGTCAGCTTTAGATAATTGCTGGGCTATCTTTCTCGTCACTAAGTAATTCACATTTTCATCTTGGAAGCGAGGACGCGGAGGCGTAAGTTTATGTATCTTCTATGGCCAGTAGGGCGAAGGCATACATTTGGGCGGACTTAAGCCTAATGGGATTGTGAATAGGTACTTCAGGAAAAGCAGCGATCCTCAAGCGATACTCTCCAACGAACCCTCATATTAATATGAGCTATATGTTTCCATTGATGGTTTCATGTCGGCGGATGCTATGTGAAACAGTCTCCTTATGCTTGAAATTAGCAGTGAGCAGAAAGTAGTGATTATCAGGACAAAATTGCAATAGAGGATCATCGTCGTTGATTCTTTGTCATAAGATTCCGTAGATAAAGAAGCCTGACCACCATGTTAAGTTGACGGCTATCGGTTGGGCTGGTAGCTGAAACCTTAGCTCAAAGAAAAGCTCTCTCTAAACATCTACAGCCTGAGTTAGAAACACACCAAAATTTCTAAACCATTTTGTAAACGGGTGACTTCAGAAGCCAACCTATCAAGAGCTGGGATAACCAATCAGGTTTCTTTATTTTATAGCGAACAAATTTGTCAGCCAATTTAACAAAACCTGACAGCTAATTTCCACACCTAATAGGTGGGATTGGGAATTCCTTTTGAAAATCGTATTCAAACCATGAAATTGTCAGGCCTGTGCATGATTTGGAGCACATGAAATGTGTTTACTTCACTCTAGATTGTCGGTTTTCATGTTTTAAAATAAAATTGACCAAGCGAACGAATTGCATAAAGTAAAAAAATTAGGGTAAAGGTACAATTTATTCACCAAGTTACTTCGACAGAACGATTTTTTTCTGCAGGGAATAAATACAGCTGTTGGTGCATGAGAAAGTTTCTCGGGAAAAGTCAAGTGGAAATCTCAGCTGAGAAAAAGTATAGATCATAAATTAACCCAACAGAATCTACTACTGACAAAAAGCAGCTTGTTATTATCGACGCAGATTTAATGAATCAATCCATTCCACTAATTCTAACAATCATAGTACAATTAACATATGTACGGTCTAAAGTTTCTTTGAAGGCATTTATATATTTAATCGGTATCCATTTGCGCGACAAATTCAGGAATTTGATAAGTACAACAGATGGGAGGAGATGGATCTGACCTATCTTTTAATCTAGATGAAAATCTTTAGTAGATTCAACTCAACAACCTCAGAAACTAGGTTATCAGTCAGATATCCATTACAGTAGGTGACTGACAATTCACAATCGGGAAGCTTAAAATATGGTAGATGAAGCAGGTCTTGAAACGCAAGAGATAAGAACTGAATGCTTATTAAATCGCAAAGTTGTAACTCCACAATACTTTACTTAAAAATCTCATATACTAAGTTTGATTTCCTAGTTTAATGATGACAATATTAATCATATAAGGGTTTTACCAATCAAGTTTTAACAGGGTATACCGAAGAAACTTATCAAATAAAAAATTATTACGTAATTACTTGCATTTCTCTGTGTAGTGAAAGCTTAGCTTGTATGTTATCTCAAATATGAAAAATTTGTTCGAACTTTACTTTTAGAGGTGCTCAGCTGCTTACCTGCTGAGGATCCAAACATATCTCCAATAAGTGATAATTTATAATCCAAAGCCATTTGAGTGAATTATAATGGGAATTTCTAAGGTAATTTATCAATCAAAGAATATATACGTACATACATTACAGGTCAGATGCAACACAATTATATCATACCTGGTGGATAACCCATTACACGAAATATTCGTTCTAATTGTTCTTTATGATAAGGAGTACTTGTTTTGATATCTTCTTGACGACAGTGAAATATCGGTTCATAGGTGAGCAGTTCAGCAAATATACATCCAATAGCCCAGATATCAATAGCTTTTGTATAGTGTCTTGCACCTAGAAGCAGTTCAGGTGCACGATACCAAAATGTTACAACAACAGGATCCAAATCAGCTAATGGTTTTAAAGGTTGATAAAATAGACGAGCGAAACCCAAATCAGCAATTTTGACACGACCTCTGTCTGGACCTTCACCCATGACAAGGATATTTGCTGGTTTCTAGCCGAAGATGAAATAAAATATATGGTTTACAGCATCATGAACATTGTAATGTTAGTCAACGTGCTATAAAATAAATTACTACATACAATTACTATGTCCGGCTTGCTTTTGTATAAGGCGCTACTCATTAAAAGCCTCTACTAACCTTTAGACGCTAGAAACTCTGGAGTAATTTATCAAAGACAGGCAAAATCAACGCAGAACCTTGCGCAGAAGTGAATCAGTTCAAGTCATCACACTCCATGGCAACATGTAACAAGTGGATAGAAAAAGACTGATATTAAACTGGACAAAGGTACACAGGAGAACGAATTTTGAAAATGAAGGTTAGTGAAAACATTCAGGCTAGTAAAGACTTCAGAGAGTGAATACATCTGCACCATTGTGAATGGCTCAGTTCTGTCACCGAGAACCCCAAGCAGTCTACATCTTCCTACACGGCCAAGACCAAGATTCAGAAACTTCATAGTAACTTGTTATTAAATAAGACTTATGCAAAAGAAGCTTAGAAGATTGGTATTTGTTTAAAGAACTTCCTAAGAATGTTACTTCATCACTTTTTAATGCTAAAATGGACCGAAAATTGACAGGTTAACCTTCTTTTACGATAGTTTAATTTACCACCAGTGTTTTCGAAGACTCCATTAGTAATGATGGATAGTGGCTAGCAGTGGAACCAGCATGTGCATTTCGCCCTATTTGGGACTCGTCAGCTGGATGTACCTGCTTCCCAGTGAGTGATGTTGTTCCCACCGGGACTCGGACTCGGGACCGACCGCTTCAAACGCCAGAGCGTTATCCACTACACCACGGAGCCACGATAGCCACTTCTTGTGCGACGGGTATAGTTAGTATAATTGTTTTATATCATACCGTCGTTGATTGGACCGAATTGATCGGTCTCTATTGGCATATGGGCTCCTGTGCGGAAGCTTTGATATTGCCAGCGTTCTAATTATAGAGATCGATCAATTCGGTCCAATCAACGACGCATGATATAAAAACAATTATACCTCTATTAGTAGTTTACGCGTTGTTTTAAAGCAATAGCTTATCTTTTCTACCTATCTTTTTTAAATCTGACATACACGATAACCATTCTAGAAAGATGTATTAAGCAAACGACTGAAATAACATTTGCACAAGTATACTCAATTAACATATTGAACTGAAAATTTTTTCAGGTACCTTGTCAGATTCTAAAAGTGGCTCAACCTAGATGCGAACACCACTCCACCTACTTCTGCCTAAGAAAACCATTTAGTATTGTAGGTCTTTACATATCTGATGTAGCTCATAGACTGGTAAAAGACTCACAGTAAGTTACTGGGAGAATCATAACTTTTTTACTTTTCCGAATGAAGTGGATTACAGTTCAATGATATCTCGAAATCCACTCAGCAATTTTGTGCAGATTCGTGCAGCAAACCATGAGCCACACCTATTACATGAGTGCTATTAATGATACTACTTGGCTGCCCAAACCTCAGCATGAGTTTTATGCGTTCTGAAAGGTTTTTGTCTTCATTGATCAGGAGGGATATCGTTTCCCTAGCCAATTGAGGTTCGATGGATGTGTATAGTGCTGTAATATCGAAGGATATCATTAACTCGTCTTTTTCCATGTTGATGCTTTTGATCTTTTCTAAGAATTCTGTTGGTGACTTGATGGAATGTCCTCATGATTAAACGAGGTGTTTCAGTTTTCTCGAAAGTTCTCTTGATATGTTGTATGTTGGGGTTCCCGGAAGTGAGACTATTGAAGGAAGAAACAATGATTAGTAAGGTAAACTATAAGATACTGTACTGAGTGAAAATCAATCAAAGAAACAACCCTATTTTAGACTAGATCCCCAGGTTTTCTTCCTGTAAACATGAGTAAGTACATACCTACACGTGGAAAATGTGCCAACCTTTGAAGGTTTTAAAAATAAGAGCCACTATCAACAGTAATAATAAAGTCAACAGTAGCATTAACGGGGTTCAAGTGTGAAGACTTAACACAGTTACTAAAAAGCAGCATGAAAATTCCAAAAAGTGGTTGATCAAATCATGTCACAGAGTTAGAATAGTACAAGTTTAATACTGTTGCAGAATGAGGCAAATGGATAATCAAAATATAAACAAATTTAATAAGTATAAAAAATGGCGGCCAACAAGAAAAGGATAGGAAAATCTTCAGGGTAACGCTGCTCACTAGATTTTCCATAGACAGGAGATATGAAGGGTGTTCAAATGTCATCTGGTCACAAAGGTTGAGATACCTGCTTAAATTTTTATTTTTTCCACTGTGTAAAAGGGAAGTCGAAATAACAGTTAGAGTTCACACTGATGTACGATACATATTCCTCAAACGTTATTCTTACATACAGTTACACCAGTCGTTCGAATGTGTAAAGAAGGAGCTTCCTATGGATATCATTTGTTCCTTCATGAGTTGTTAGGATCGATGCCTAGCTAGATGCCCACTAAATCACCCTGTGTAACTCTATATATTACTTCCAGAACACAGGCAGTTGTACTAGGGAGTGCACACAGTAGAAACCAAGCTCAACGATTAGAACAACAATGATTGGTAAGTTGGAAAATCATAAAAACAGTGTAGAAGCAAGCCTGAAACAGCCGTGTTTAGATAACCACTTAATTTTGCCCACTTAATCTCGACCGAATCACTTTCAATGAAGAGGGTCAGTTGAGGATTGGCTCCCTCTTCTGAAAAAGACACTCGGTAGGTAATCATGTGTTGTCTCAAAAAGGCTTCTTTCGGCAACTGTGTGCACGTGCTAAAACTATGACGGAGAGACTAATTAAGGCAACAAAATGGCAAGGGTGCTGGGGTTTCTTTCCAGAAAGAAACCTCCAAGATAGCTCTGTGGATTTGACAACACTATTCATCTTGAAAAAGTTTGGCACCTTATGGAGCATTCTGTTAAGTCGGCCTTGAAGAATGCAGCAGCCACTTTGAAAGAAAGGTAGATGAATTCGAGCATCTCCTCATCAATCACCGGGTATACCTTGATGATCTCAGAGGTTGAAGTAAAAACAGCAGATAAAACTAGTGAAATGAAGACCGCCGAAAAGTCTGTATATTGAATGAGATCAATGATGAGAAACAAAACATAAAAGAGATACGAAAGACCGTGATGACAGATAACACTTGCCGAAGAAACTAATCTGAAAAAGTCAGTAGTTAATGGAAATGTGAGGGAGGAAGTGCAACTATCATAATGATAGCAACATATTTTCGCTGATATTGAGACGTAGCAATTTTCTGGGTATCAACAGGGAAGCGGTTTTGACCCTCCTTCTGCCGCAGGTGGTTGTGTAGCATTTGACTACACTGTATTGCGTTGATATATGTAACAACTCATTTAACATTTCTATTTAGTTGTGCTGATGAAAACACTCTTTCTGTTGGCTCGTTGACCAATACAACATCCTGATATATACTTCGCGTTAACTCCTGATATTTACACCCTCTGACGCAGGTGGATCACCAGTGTCGGGGATAATAAACAGGCGATAGTGTATCTGGACGCGTATATAAGTTTGGAGTCAGATTTCAGAGCTCGACAAACTGGTGAGCCTGACCCGATTAAACTCTCGCAAGTTTTACTCGTGGATATTATTGTTGTTTTCAACTGAGGACTGCCACCGCAGTCATCAATAGCTGTATACAACACGGGTTTATATATATATACACTGAGAATATCTCCAGCTGCTTCGTGGTATGTATCGACGTACTTGTTTATTGTATTTTTCCTACTCCTGTTATTTTAAGCCCTTAGAAAATTTTTCTGCTGTACCAGTACTGACGTCCTTAAACTGTCATAATCAAGATTTTCCGAATGTAGGATCCGTGGGTGCCATTAATCTTCCTATGCCTTGCTTTAAGTTTAATGACCCTCAATTGTGGTCTGTCCGTCTAGAGCATTTCTTCATCACCAATCATATAACTTCACAAAACACGAAGTTTGGATACACAAGCTCTGTTTTGCCGGAAGAAGTGGCTGAACGAGTAAGGGAGACACTACTAAAGCCCCACCCAGACACACCTTATGATGTTTTGAAGCAAGAAGTGCTGAAAGCTACTTCGTCATCTGATCAGAGGGATGTCGATCAACTACTAAGCAGCGTATGCCTCGGTAACAGAACACCACAACTTAAGCAACATATGCAAAGTCTGCTGAAAGATAGAAACGTAGATAACCGCTTATTCTACCAGCTCTGGCTACAGAGACTTCCTTCATGTATTCAGCAGACGTCAAACTGTCTAAGATGTGGACATTCACAGGTTGGCTGATATCGCTGACCAGTGCAAAACGACCGAATGGTTGCTTTATAGAGGAAGATCGACATACTTACAGGACAAATGACGGCTTCGCAGTCAAACCGACGGTCACCGAAGTTCTATAGAAGCAGATCCTGTAGTCACAGTAAGACTACGAGTAGAATTGCGTCTAACAGTAGCACGTGCTAGCATAACAAGAAGTTTTGGCAGTAAAGCACGTCGTTGTTTGTTACCATGCGATTTTGAAACCTTTTCATCGAAAAACGGAAAGGCCGGCGATCAGTGACGACTGCTGTCACCAGCGTACAACAATACAGTCGTCTGTTTTGGGTGACGGCCAGGAAGACTGAGGCGCAATTTCTGGTTGACACTGGAGCAGAAGTGAGCATGACCCCACCCACACCTTCCGAAAAACACGATCCCAACCCGACCTTGGTACTACAAGCGGCAAACAAATCTGCTATTACTACATATGGAATCGGAATTTTGGTCCTAGACATTGGTTTTCATACACCATTTCAGTGGGAATTCGTCATCGCTGACATATCGTCGCCTATCATTTGCGAGGATTTCCTTCAAAGCTATGAACAACTGGTCGACTCTAGTCGCCATAGGCCAGTTAGCCGTAATAACGAAGTCTGTCGCAGCCATTGTTACGTAGACAAAAGAACAAAGCTAGTCGTAGCCACGATAAACAGCACTTGCGCGTACGATATCCTTCCGCGGGAATTTCCCGAGCTCACTCAAACGGATCACATGAAGTCCTCTCCTTAAAGGTCTTAATTCTAAAAAGGTTCTTAAAAAAGGTCCTCCAGTTTCGTCAAAACCTCCACGCCTAGACCCTAAGAAGCTGTAGATAGCAAAACAGAAACTCGATAAACTTCTAAAGTTAGGAGTTATTCACCCTTCCAAGAGCCCATTGTCATCACCCCTGCATGTGGTAATTAAAACGAACATCAGGGAAAT